AATCACCATCAAATTACCATCAAATCACCATCAAATCACCAATAAATCACCATTAATTCACCATCAAATCACCATCAAATCACCATAAAATCACCATCGAATCACCATAAAATCACCATTAAATCACCATTAAATCACCATCAAATCACCATCAAATCACAATAAAATCACCATAAAATCACAATGAAATCACCATTAAATCACCATTAAATCACCATCAAATCACCATCAAATCACCATAAAATCACCATCAAATCACAATGAAATCACCATAAAATCACCATCAAATCACCATCAAATCACAATAAAATCACCATAAAATCACAATGAAATCACCATTAAATCACCATTAAATCACCATCAAATCACCATCAAATCACAATGAAATCACCATAAAATCACCATCAAATCACCATCAAATCACCATAAAATCACCATAAAATCACAATGAAATCAACATAAAATCACCATCAAATCACCATCAAATCACCATAAAATCACCATAAAATCACAATGAAATCACCATAAAATCACCATCAAATCACCATCAAATCACCATAAAATCACCATAAAATCACAATGAAATCACCATAAAATCACCATTTTCTGCAACCTTTTTCACAGTTTGAGGCGCACACTGACTGGGAGCCGTTGGAGCGCTATCACCTATTGGCGCGGCTCTGAATTCGACGTTTCGAAGCACCAGCATTGGACCCAGGGAAGCGCAACAAACACATAGATAATTAACTAAGATAGTCTAAAACTATCGGTCAACTCTAGTCAATAGATATCTCAAACTATACATATTTAATTGGGTTGAGAAACCAGGTTGGGGGTTCTTAAAATAGGGGATCCCAAAGTCACCAGGTATCAATACTAAATTGATCTAATGACTTCGATGATTTGGGAGTAGGCCTATTTCAGGAAACCCCCACGTGGTGTATAACAACCCTGCCAAAAAAACATGCCGAAAAAATGTTCCAGGAACTTATATATATATATTAGATTATTAGATTTATTAGATGTACTTCATATTCTTCCAGGTTCCACACAGTTTCCCACTGTTTGGCATCTATTTTGGGTGTGCTATAATCAGTGATCTGATAGCGAATACACTGCAAGAACCACTGCATCCAGCACAGACCGGGACCGTCTCCCAGAACAAAGCCGGGCAATATGAAATCCGAAACAAGTCCCATGTGGTACTGATCGAAGCAACTTGCAAGGTTTCACAAACCAGGTATAAATATAAACATGTATAAACCATTTTTGGGGTTGGTTTCCCTTATATACAAGGTGTACAAGGTTGTAGCATTGTATGTCAGGATGGCCCGCTAGATCCCTAATGTTGTGATTGGTTGCTTGAAAGTTGGAAAGGCACTTTCCAAGTTGTCCAACCGCCAACCGGCTGCAAAACATATCAAGACATTGACATATCAAGTATGAAAGTGTTTTCCATCACGATATACTTCATCAAAATCATTTCACGACCAGCAACATCTTGTCCATGACTGTATTGGGCATCATACAAAGTGTTCATCATATATCATGAAAGCATTCACTAGAGTCCGCTGTAATCAATCTCAGCAAAGTTGGCATGGAACTTGATCATGATTTAGAAGGATCAATCTCAGTCAAAAGAAAGCCTGAAATAACAATATCTCTGACGTAGACGCAAACATAATCATATACATTATTGTTTGGGCTAATTATTTCTACGTAAAAATAAAACTTCTAAATGATTGAAGCTGTGTATGGCAATTGTAGGTACAAAGAAAGAAGGGATCAAAAACTTGCTCTACAGTAAGTCCGGCATCAACAGACCTCTTTTCATGCCCTCTCTTGCTCCAAACAGAGAGTCGCAAGTGTGACAGATGGATCTGCGGCACAAACTGCCTCTAGAAACTGCCCGTCGGGCAAGACTACACGAAGCTGTTGCTCATCAGCCTGCAACGCAAGCTGACTGGAAACCTCTGCGGCTAAGTCAGCTCCACTGGCCCTTAAGCGCAGCACTTCCAGCCCGTCCAAGCCAAAACAGATTAGAACAATGGCATCAGCTTCGCGATTGAAGCAAAGTTGCAAAACACGCTCTGGCTTTCTCCCAAGTGGCTTCAAATCAGAAATGTAACGAAGGCTTGGAGACTGAAAGCTAAGCCACTGACGCCATGACTTCAAAGCTGGAATTGAGCTTTTTCCGTTCACATTACTTCCGCAAGCAACGGCACAGCCATCACTTCGGAGAAGCACTGTATGATAATCACCTGCAGAAACCTGGGTGTATGTCACATTCTCATCCAAAGGAGGAATGCTGCATTGTCTCCAGTCATTCTGTCCACAAGCAACCGCACTTCCATCGCTTCGGAGAAGCATTGCGTGACAACCACCTGCAGAAACCTGCCTGTATGTCATGCCCTCATCCAAAGGTGGAATGTCGCATTGTCTGCTTTCATTGTCTCCACAAGCAACTGCACAGCCATCACTTCGGAGAAGTACTGTATGAAAATCACCTGCAGAAACCTGGGTGTATGTCACATCCTCATCCAAAGGTGGAATGTTGCACTGTCCCTCAAGGTTACGTCCGCAAGCAACTGCACAGCCGTCACTTCGCAGAAGCACTGTATGACAACCACCTGCAGAAACCTGGGTGTATGTCACATTCTCATCCAAAGGAGGAATGCTGCACCGTCCTTCAACATTCTGTCCGAAAGCAACTGCGCAGCCATCACTTCGGAGAAGCGCTGTATGGCAACCACCTGCAGAAACCTGGGCGTATGTCACACCCTCATCCAAAGGTGGAACGTTGCACTGTTTGCACTCATTGTGTCCACAAGCAGCTGCAAAGCCATCACTTCGGAGAAGAACTGTATGATAACCACCTGCAGAAACCTGGGTGTATGTCACACCCGCATCCAAAGGTTGAATGTTGCATTGTCCGTAATCATTCCGTCCACAAGCAACTGCACAGCCGTCACTTCGGAGAAGTACTGTATGAAAATAACCTGCAGAAACCATATCAGAAGTCTCTCCAGGACCCCTGAGAGGGTTCTCTTTACTGTTCTGATTCACAGAAAAAAGGTTGCTTTGACCATGGTAGGTGATGATGTCTCTAACTATGTATAGATGTATAGTTACCCTGAAAAAAGAGACAAAAGTGATTTATGTCTATTTGAACAGACTTACCAATCTCTATTTTTTCGGGCTTGGTATAAACACCAATCATTTGAAATCGCAGCTTTCCTTAAATCCTCTTGAACCGCCAATGTCACATTTGCGCCCGGCTTCTTCAGCATGTTGTTGACCGGGTCATCGCATCTGTATACAGATGATTTTCCCATGAAAACCTCCATTTAGTTTGGGGATTTCCCAGCTAGCCATGCTTGAATGCAGAAGGGCATATCTCTTTGAGGTTGTTTCTAACAAGGTGAGCAGGGCGGTGTACTTTGTCTTCCCACTGCCATGAAATACAACGATAGTTGCAGTGTACAGTTGCTGCTGTTCTCAAATGGATTTCTCCAAAAACAGGGGATCCATTGGAGCCATTGGAAAAATCATCTTCCCCACCTGCAATAGCTGGTTGTTTTACCTAACGCAATATCCACTGCTTCTAGCCCAAAGATTTCAGGTATTTTCAGGTGTTTCCGTGAAGCCCATATGTTTCTCCAACCATAACATCATAACTTTGTTTTTGATTCCCGTCCTTACAATGCCCTTGGAAGATTCTACAACCTTTTGTTTGATATCAATGTCCTTGGAAGAACGCTTTTCAGAATGGCCATGTGGAACTGTTCGTCGGTGAAATCTGAAAGAATTTGAAAAATCAGGCCCCCCTCTGGTTACGTGAGGGGCTGGGGCAAGGGGATTTTAAGTTTGGAAAATGATCGACATTCATGGTGCGTGTGTGTGTGTGTGCGTTCCATTTTTATTTTTCTATGAATGGTTCTACATTCATGGTTGTTACCAATATCCTGAAATGGTTCTATAACATTCTATAACTACGTATCTATGTAAGCCGCCATTCTATAAAGTTTCATCATGTATCACGATGTATCTTGACAGCAATCATAACATTCATGTCCATCGCACAGCTGTAATCAATCTCAGCAAAGTTGGCATGGAACTTGATCATGATTTGCGAAGATCAATTTCAGTTAAAAAAATGCTTGAAATGACAATATCTGTGTTGTAGACTGTAGACGCACACACACACATGTGGACATTGTCTGTGCGTTTTAGACAATATATACAAAGAGAGAGAGAGAGAGAGCTGATTACAAGATTCACTCACGCATGAAATAATGCCTCAGTTTTAGGCAGCATTGGAAACAGGGAGCCATCCAATCCCACATCTACAGACCTCTTTTCACGCCCTCTCTTGCTTCAAACAGAGAGTCGCAAGTGTGACAGATGGTTCTGCGGCACAAACTGCCTCTAACAATTGCCCATCGGGCAAGACTACACGAAGCTGTTGCTCATCAGCCTGCCGCGCAAGCTGACTGGAAACCTCTGCGGCTAAGTCAGCTCCACTGGCCCTTAAGCGCAGCACTTCCAGCCCGTCCAAGCCAAAACAGATTAGAACAATAGCATCAGCTTCGCGATTGAAGCAAAGTTGCAAAACACACTCTGGTTTTCTCCCAAGTGGCTTCAAATCTGCAATATAAAAAAGGCTTGGAGACTGAAAGCCCAACAGCTGACGCCAAGACTTCAAACACTGACACCCTGATCTCAAAGATGGAATTCTGCCTTGTCCGTACCCATTCTGTCCGCAAGTAACTGCACCGCCATCACTTCGGAGAAGCACTGTATGACAACCACCTGCAGAAACCTGGGTGTATGTCACATTCTCATCCAAAGGTGGAATGTCGCATTGTCTGCTTTCATTGTCTCCACAAGTAACTGCACCGCCATCACTTCGGAGAAGCACTGTATGACAACCACCTGCAGAAACCTGGGTGTATGTGTGAAACTTTACTAGTGAACTACCCCCAAATGAGTAGCGCACGTGGACGGGCACTGAGTGAACAGCGCCGCCACCCAATCCACAGAGCTAAAAAGCCCTGAGCAAATACCAAAAGACCCGCCAGTAATCAACCCCAAAACAAAAGGGGGGAAACCCAGGCCATCGCAAATGACATCAACAGTAAATCATGCAGGGATCAGCATAGCACGTTAAGAGCCATGCCGAAGTTCCCAAATGGTTCGCTGCACAAAAACAAGCCAAGCATGAACACGATCCATGTCAGCATCCACACGAGAAATGACCCACCCAAACCGAGCCACAAGAAACTCACCCGGCTTGGGCGGGATATCCATGTTGCATGGACGACAAGGACAAGACCAAGCAATATGGTCAAAACTGCCAACGTCATGACAACCAGGCCAAATACAAGTGTCAGCAACATCAAGATTTTGGGCACTGTGCAACGCAGCAGGAGAAAAAGAACCCCCTGTCGCCAAAGCACGCGCCTCCGGCCCAGAAGCCGCAAATTTCCGAATACCATCCCAATCAATTCTGTGAAACAAACCGTTTTCAAAGCAATCAAGATTATTGTCCCGCCGAGTGGATTGACAATGTTTGTTGAGACACCAAGCGCGCCAAGCAGTACGGACCACATGTTGACGAGCACCGGCATTATCAACGACAGTAAAATCAAGAACAGAACGCGACAAAGCATGACTCCATTTCCAGTCAGCGTCACAGATCCATCCATGAGAACAAAGCCAATCCTTCAACGCGCGAGCAGGCGTTCCAGACACAGAAGACCAAGTCAAAGCCCTCCTGCGCTGAACACGAGACAGAATTCCAACCAACTGAGTAGCAAACAACACGTCCAAGTGAAGCCCACCACCGAAAAGAGCTGCCCGAAGCCAGACAGAGGCGCTTCGCAACCGCCGACTACCCATGTGCACACACGAAAAAAGGGCTTTGCACAACGTCAAAGGAGGAGCCCTAGCAATCCACCCATAAGCCACTTTAGAGACAGCAAAGCTCCGACAGGCACGCATGTAAGGTTCAAACGGCATACCGATACAAGCAAGCAAAGTCAAAACCCGCTTGCACGCATTCACACGTTCCAACTCCTTGGGCATCAAGCCACGACAAGCAACCATGCTACAAGAACCAAGCAATTCAGTATTAGTGGCAACGTAGTCCGGCCAATGTTTCCGAAGAGTGGCTCTTCGTGCCGGCGTGGAAGCAACCACCACATTTTTTTTGTTGATTTTCAAGCAAGCCAACCGAAAAAGACCAAGCGCACCAAGCATGGAAGCGTTCCATGAGAGCCCAAACCCGCGGGCCAACAAAAGCACGGTCATCAACAAAGACGCGAGACAAAATTGAATCCCGACTGTTGCAAACACTTTCAACAGACGCCCAACCGCCCCAAGTCCACAAAGCCATCACCAACGGGCCCAACGGATCCCCTTGAGGCATGGCTGGCGCCACAGGGGTGCGGGTGACATGAGTGTGAACCCCAAAAGAAACCCAACGTTCCTGATGAAGCCAAACCTTGGTAGCAACCTCAACAAAGCTGGGATCCCAGCCCAAATGAATCATGAGGGCTTTGGTGACGCTGGGATCAAGCAAATCGTAAGCTTTGGAGTAATCCAAGCTAGCAAGGTAACCCCCAGCCATCAATTTATCCAAAAGATCAACAACGACCTCCCCAGTAGACACAGCATGAGCAACAGCAAAATGTCGCGGCACATGTTGCCGCATCCACTCACGCAAACAGCCTTTGGCCCAAGCGCTAGCCCAGATTCGCCACCAGACCGACATCACAGTGATGGGCCTCAAATGTTTAACTGAGATCTGGTTCAAAGCATTGACCTTACCAGGCTTGGCCAAAGAAATCATCCTACTTTCAAAAAATTGAGCGGGCACATTGCCGCTCAACATCCAACGTTTGCCAAGGACAGCAAACACTTTGAAGATTTCAAAAGGCAACAAAGCAACTTCACGCGAAACCCAGCCATCCGGCCCGTGACTTCCTTTCCCATCAACAGCGATGGCTCGGAGACATTGGGGGGAAGGTGGTTCCCAAGAACAAGCAGCGCTAGAAGGAAGACCCGCAAGCATGGAAGCAACGCGGTCCGACAAACTAGGTTGACGTTCACGAGCTTGATTCCAGAAATCAACCCAATACCCATGAACTGCTTCAGCAGCTTCCACATCAGATTCAGCCAAACACCCGTGCAGATTAATGACTGAGACACCAACGGGAGTTGAGCGATTTTTGAGCCACCGCGACAACTCAGCACCCGCAGAGACCATCTGGCGACGCCAACGGGTGATGTTGGCAGCGCGAGCAAACCTGGGTGTATGTCACATTCTCATCCAAAGGTGGAATGTCGCATTGTCTGCATTCATTGTCTCCACAAGCAACTACACGGCCATCACTTCGGAGAAGCACTGTATGAGAATCACCTGCAGAAACCTGGGTGTATGTCACACCCTCATCCAAAGGGGGAATGTCGCATTCACCATGACCATTATTAAGTCCACAAGCAACTGCACAGCCATCACTTTGGAGAAGCACTGTATGATCACCACCTGCAGAAACCTGGGTTTACCTCACACCCGCATCCAAAGAGGGAATGTTATATTCATTGTGACCATTCAGTCCATGCGCAAACGCACGGCCATCACTTCGGAGAAGCGCTGTATGGCAACCACCTGCAGAAACCTGGGCGTATGTCACACCCTCATCCAAAGGGGGAATGTTGCATCGTCCCCGCGCATTCTGTCCACAAGCAACGGCACGGCCATCACTTCGGAGAAGTGCTGTATGACAACCACCAGCAGAAACCTGGATGTATGTCGCACCCGCATCCAAAGGTGGAATGTTGCACTGTCCATTAAAATTCCATCCGCAGGCAACTGCACAGCCATCACTTCGGAGAAGCACTGTATGAGCACCACCTGCAGAAACCATATAAAAAGTCTGGCCAGGGACCCCTGAAAGGGTGTTTTCGCTAATCTAGTCACTGTTGGAGTCCTTCCACGCACCAGGGTTGCTTTGACCAAGGTAGATGATGATGATGTCACATGATGTCTCTAACTAGATACCAATGAATTGAAATCGCTACCTTTTGGAGATCTCTTGAGCCGCAAATGCAAAAACACGCTCGACTTCTTGAATGATTGTATGATATTGTATGGACATGTCTGGAAAAGGGGTACCTCCCTTCCATCCATTACCCTCTGGTAAACTAGCATAACTATGGAAAATCAGCATTTTTAATGGGAAAATCCACTATAAATGGCCATGTTCAATAGCTTTTTGTATGTTTACCAGAGGCTATTGATATCGCATCTTGGGAGTATATCATCATTATCCCCCGTATCCCCTTGTCATGTTGGGAGGACAAAAACCTCATCAATCTGGACACCGGAAAAGGTGAAAAATCCACCTTTTTGTTTATCCTCCAAGTAAGACTAAAACCAAAAACTTGGTCAGAGCGCCCGCAGGAGCCCTGTACTGTTTGCGATAGTCAATGTCTGTTTGAGAAAACGCAGGGTTTTTGTAACATGTATCATGTTGATCGTGGATATGCAGAGAGCAAAAACGTAGAACTGCGCGCCCAAAATGGTTGATTTCATTCAAATTGACTGTTTTTTTCAATGTATTTGCATTTGTGTTCCAAACTGTCTTCATTGGCATTTTTTTTCTTCTACCTTTCATCTCGGTGGTGCTTGCACAACTTTCCGAGGCTGGTGAACACGTGTCCTTCATTGAGGCGACGCCACTGTCCACGCCAGAGGTATTTCCAGAGAGCTCGCTCTCTGATCTTTCCTTTGGAAGTCGTTGTCCACTGTTTCGGCACACTTTTCTTTTCATGGTGCCACTGCCTATCCAACTGCTGCGTGCCCGCGGTGCGAGCTCGACCTCTTTTGCGCGTGAACTCTGCACGGGAGTGTTTGACCACAACCCATTTGAAACATCGCGTGGGTATGCAACTTCAGAGATCTCTGCAGCGTCGCAACATCTAATGTACGCACTACAAAGAACGTTAACATGCCCCCCCACCCCAGGGTCAGCGGAATGTTGAGAAACGACGAAAGCGTGGGGCTCCTCGAGGCGCTCACACCAAAAACTTGGGGATTCATAACCACTAAAAACAAGATAAAACTAGTATGTTCAATAAATCCACCAATAATCCAGCAATAATAAACTTGCTGTTGCCAAAAAAGACCTGGAGCAAATTGTTTCTGTTTCTTTTGGCTATATGTCCCATGTTTGCCTCATTTCTGTCTGGGGGTGATGAAAAAAAACATGGGACGTTACTCACTAGCCACATGAAGAGGTTTCACTAGCCACTGAAACAAGCCATGCGTTTTTTTTTAAGAAGAGCAGCCCTGATTTAAACAGCAATAGTTGTTGGAAATGTTGGAAAGAGGTAGTAACATGTAGTAACCATGGCTACCGCAGACACAACTTATAATCACATACCTAGGTCATGGGTGATTTTTTTCTGGACCCCCAACCCAGGAACAGAGTAGTAAGCCCGGTTCCAATCTTTTGGGAATTCGGAATACACACTGATTTGGCTCACCCAAGTCGATGCAAATTGTTATGCATCCACCATGGGCAAAGGGAATGATTATCCCTGCACAGTAATGAATAAAGTTGCCAAGTCATTTAGTCTAACGACCAATCAAAATAGTCTTGCAGCCACTGGCTATCTAAGTGGTAGAAACTGTGAGACCAGTTTGGGACTTGGAACCCCACACCTTTCATGATGCTAGTTTTTGAGATTGGACATATGGTTGATTCCGAACCACCAATTATGTCTGGTTCTTTGGGGTTCCAGGTATAGTAACCCCAAAGAATCAAACCAAAAAGAACAGAAAAGTAAAACAAATCATCAAATCCGATTCTAAAATATAGTGATAAAAATTCTAAAATATACCCAGAGTCTTAACCCAGATTCTAAGATATAGTGATAAAAAAATTCCTCATCATCTGTTTGAAGTTTGTTTTTCCATCTTCCCATTTCAAAAATTTCGCATCCCGGCGGCGAGGACTTAAACTCGCCGTGGAATTGCTGGGCGATCGGGAGGAAGTCGAAACTGGAGGAGCTTTGGTGATTGCGGGAAATTGCGAAGTCATGAGGATTTAGGGCATATATACTGGATAATATAATGATGTATATATATATAGTATTATTAGTGTAATATGAGTGTTATTACTATGATTATTAATTACTGTTATTGTTATTAGTAGTACTAATATTATTGTTATTATCTTTATAATATCACTATTAGGATATGGAAATATAATGGATAATGATTGCATATGTATGGGATAAATTATTTATTAGACGACATTAGATGGTGTATTTTCCAATAATTGGATAATGGGAGATATATGGATATATAATGGATAATGACAATAGATGGGATATATGAAACAATGGGATATAGGGGAATCTAGTTTGGATGGTTAGCAATGAGGCAGAAAAAAAAACATGGTAGTAGAAGAAGTAATGACTACCGAGGAATAATAACCCTCCTCTCCACCACCATAGGTCAACAAGGTTTTCCAGGCATCTTCTGAACTACACAATTAATAAACCCATCGTTGATGAAAAGAAAAAAAGGACATGAACAAGGCCAAGCGAAACAAGAAACACATAGGGCTGATATGGGTCTTATTAACACTACTAATTGGGCAGGCGACCACTTTTGATGGAACACCACTCATGCGGGCACCCCACAGAGTATCATTTCGGGGATGATGTTTTGAAATAGATGTTTCTTGATTGGGTTTTTTAGGAACCACAAGGGATCAAGAACAAAAGAACTCAAAAAAAACTAAAAGTAAAAGGGAATATTCATGTTAAATTAGTACCACTAACAATCCGGGGGGTTGCAGATGGCATTTACTAATTGGAGGGTCGAACCATTATTGGGTTGGCAAAAACCACCTCATTGAATTGCTGGCATTGCTCAAAAATCGTGGGGACCAAGGCTGTTTACTATTAATAGTAGGGGTTCTTAATCCTACCTTGTCATAAAAAAAATATACAGATATCCACTGCAAGCAATTCATCCTGATTTCATCCCTGAACGGTGGCCGAGCCTTTCGCTTGTGAGTCTTGTTCCCTCAGCCTTGGTAGAAGCCGAAAATACCAACAACGACCATTTTTAGGCTTGTTCTTCGTTCTTTTTGGCAGGGACGCAAGAAACCTATGTTCAGCACCCTGCACATGGACGTTGCGGAATGGATAAGTTTCTGACCCTTAAAAGTTGTGTGTCCGAATATGTGAAGCAAGCAAGCTGGCCACTTTCAACGAACACAGTGCCAAAAATCAATATAATTTTGGTGGAGTGCCGTCGCTCATGCCGAATCACCCACGTTTGACACTTCTACACGCTGCTAGCCAATCATCCCATTCTTACGGGCTCAGCATCATGCCCTACAACTACAAGTTGCTAAACAGATATGACCCCGTCATACGGTGGGTAGGTCGAAGTTTCGAGATGATCCCTGCTAGTCTGGATCCCAACACGAAAAAACTGAGAAAACATGTGCTGATCCTGGCTGGTTGGTGCTGGCTAACCGATCTAACCATCTTGAATAATGATGGAGTTCGTCAATGGGAAGGATTATATATCCCATATATGAAATGGAAAATAAAACATGTTCCAAACCACCAACCAGATGATTAATGGGAAGTATTATCTATCAGTAACTATTCATTAACTATCCATTATTCCCAATATATTGAAACCACCAAGCAGCTGGTATTGGGTCCCCCAACGAGTGTGGAGCTTCAGACGAGTCTGCCTCAACCAGTCGATATCAACCAACCAGTAGTGATTGCAGTGTTTGAAACACTATTTTTTTGTAGACCGATTTTTGATTCCTGATATACATATAGGGAACCATATATATATATATAGACATAAAAAATATAAATTGTATATCATGTTATATTAATGTACATTGACAATCTCAGCAATCTCGAAATATTGGGATGACTGATTCAGACATCTACCAGAGAGAGCCTTCACCTAACCAAATATATCTCAGGGAAGTGTCCTGGTGTCAGCATCGTGGTCACATCCATCGTTTGCAGCAGGTGGTGGCAAGTTGGAGCCGTGGTGCTTTTGCACCACGTCCATGTTGGCAACAATGCCACGACTGTCCCGTTGCCGATGCCGGACACACCAAGGGGGCCCCGAGAGAGAGACATGTCCAGCCGCAGCTGTGGGGTTATTTTCGCAGTGGCAAATGCCGAGTGTATTTCCCAGGGTCTCTTCTGTGGATGAAATGCAAACATTCCGCGGGCACATTGATTCAAGATGGTATCAAAACTATATAAAACTATATAAAACCATATAAAACCATATAAAACCTTCCAAGTTCTACAAGTTACGCACTCGAGCGGGACAGGAATAGGGATGGTTTCTCAGATGGATTGTGTCCCTCAGAGGTGTCAGTTTCAGGCAAAGAACTGGCTGCATCTCTTCGTTTTTTTTCCCGATGCCCGGGTGTTTCCACATCAATTAGCTGGTTGGTGGTTTTAACATGTTTTAACCATCTTGAAAAATATGAGTTCGTCAATGGGAAGGATTATCCATGATTATCCCATATATTATGGAAAATAAAAATGTTTGAAACCACCAACCAGATTCAGAATAGAATGTAGCTGGTTAGTGGTCGAGCCTACCCCTCTGAAAATATGAGTTCGTCAGTTGGGATGATTAATTATTTCCAACTGTTTCTGGAAAGTCATTCAAAATTCCATGGTTCCAGTCACCACCAAGCAAATATCTCATTAACCATTCTTAACCATTATTAACCATTATTAACCATAATCATTCATGTTCCAGTCACCACCAACCAGTTAGCCTCATCCTTTCAATCCACTATGGTTGGACCGGTTCCGGGGGATGACTGGGATGATCCGGTGATCATCGTCAGAGATGAAAGAAGGGGCGGAAGAGCTTGGAATGTTTTTACCGCACATGACATGACATAACTTTGTGTGTATAGTTCCAACATAGTTCCATTATAGTTCCATTAGAAAAAAAAAAAACATTGTAACATCCCATTATAATGGAACTATAGCTCCAACAGGCTCCGACTCAAAAAAAAAACGCCAAGTAGATGATCTACCTTCCATGAAACTAAGATAGCTATGGAAAATTGCAATGTTCAAAAGATAAATCATCCATAAATTGGCAATGTTCAACAGTTTTCCATATGGCTATGTTGGATTACCAGAGGGTAAAATCACCATTTTTCATGCTTCGAATCCCGTTCCAAATCCCATTCCAATCATCATTTTTGATGGATCAATCATAAATCACCAATAAAATCCTGTTGGAATCCCCATGAAAATCCCTTAAAATTCCATTGGAATCATCATTACCAGATGATCTAAAACCACATCCCAACAAAAAATCCATCCGACGGCTCGCTGCCTCTGGCAGTTTTTGCTCTAAGCGTCGTCGCGCCTGAGGCAGCTGTCCGACAGCTGTCCATGCTGTGGTGGACTAACCTAACATGATCATCATGGGATTTACCCAGTTGTGATATGAATATATAATTCACTATAACTGTTAATATACCTGCGAGTGTATACATCATTATACATCTACTTAGTTCAGTGATGTTCACTGGAACTGCAACGAAGTCAACCATCAAAATTTGAGGCCTAGAATTGTGAGCCAAAGCTTGGAAACGTGAGAGTTGAAACCAAAATTGTCTAATTTGCTGGCTGAAATCCGGCCTTTAACGCAGATGACCTCACTGCTTTTTGCTGGTATCCTCACTATTTCTGTGGAAACTGGTCAAACCTTGGCTAGCATGAGTCAATATTAGTTCATGATTCAACATGGATTTTGGGTTTTACAATATACCCTCCGGTAAACATCCAAAAAGCTATGAAACATGGACCATAGAAATAGCTGATTTACCTATTCAAATAGTGATAACTATCCATAGTTATCTTAGTTTAGAGGGTGCCTCACCAAACATCAAACATCAAACACTGCCGATGCGCATCGGCTGACTTCGCTCAGCGCCTCCGCCATCTTCTCCCGCATTTGGGTGTTGGGACTTCGAGCACCTCGTCTTTCCTGGCCAGCCGTGAAGGCTGATGAAGGCTGGCAATAGCTGAGCTGCGAAGTGCAGTTTTTATTGAAAGAAGCAGCTTTGAAATGTTCATTTTATGGGACATAGTATGATATAGTTATGAAATACCATGATATGAAATACCATGATAATGAAAGAACATAATATGAAATACTATGATCATGGATCCCATGGATCTTCAATGGATTAGTTGAAGGGAAAATCTTAGCCGGAAACCATGGTTTTACATGTGTTTACTCTAATTACAGGGGGTCCTTTTACATCCTTTTTCTATGTTCCCATCATCCAGTTCGAAAAGAACCGGGCCCGCCTTTAAACAAATGAGGTCTCCCAGCGAAAGCCACGATTAAGCGGAACCCTTTGCCCAGTTTGTTAGGATGAAAAATAAGAAGTGGATGGATTTCGGTGGGATACTCGTTGGTGGTATACTTACCCCTCTGAAAAATATTAGTCAGTTGGGGCCCGATGACATTCCCAACTGAATGGAAAGTCATAAAAGCCATGTTCCAAACCACCAACCAGTCATTATACTTCCATGATATCCCCACTAGCTATCAATTGTTAACTATCCACTGCAGATGCTATCCCGTTGGCAGCGTCACAACAACCAACCATGTTCCAAACCACCAACCAGGATATCAATATGATACAAACTGTGATTCCCTATACACTGACCATCTGGCGAAATATTCGCTCCGTGGCTGGAAAAATCCACCAACTATAATAGTTGATGTTCCTATTGAAGTACCATCTGGATATGACTAACATAGCCATGGTTTGTCGATGGCCCATAGAAATAGATGCTTTACCTATTAATAGCATGGGTGGATTTTCCATGGCAAACTGCTAGTCATAACCTGTTGAAGTACCATTTTTCAGGGCATTTCCCATTGTTATTTTAGATGACCGAATGGTATGCTCTATTTCTGCAGGCCAACTTGCTAAGCCACACAAGCAGAAAGCTTTCGGGGAGAAGAAGAACATCACGGTGTTCAGGTCAGATCCAGTACATTATATATATATATATATATTATATTGTATGATCATATCAAATCAACTACATCTTAGATCATCTTAATATGTCCCAATAAAATATCATAGTATGTCCATTAATTATACGATAAAAAAATGGCCATGATATTCCTATATAATTTTCATACACTAACAGTCACTAACATCACGTAGCTGTCATGCTTTCCCAGTGACCCATCGTGCACCATCGAGCCCGCCTCGTTCCGAGGGTTGGGGTTGGAGCTTCGGCCATCTTCTCGCATCTTCCTTAGGGAGTCGACCAATCCAATAGCCAGTGGATTAAAAAAGGAAGATCAAAATATCAATGACTGGATTCACTAGTTGAATAGAAATTATATCTTAAAGAAATCTATCAAACATATCTATTTGAATAGAAATTATATATTATATAAAGGAATTTATCAAACATATAATGTGTATATATATATACCAGACATATGCTGACATATACTCTCAAATAGGCATGGAGAGAAACAAAGAGTATGCATTCAAAACATACCAACCAAGAAGTCGCTAGACAGGCTGGCAATTTTTTGATGAAAACATACAGTACAACATGCATTTCTTGTTTACAATGCATCATTCCTTTCTGTGTCTGACCCACTTCTGGTTGTTCCACCCCTATGCTAAATCCCGGCGGTTTACCCTCAACATCCAAATTCTAATCAACATAGATCCTACAGTAATCCAATACTCATTGACTCATTGTTGCTATTGGAACATCACCAAAATGTTGATATGAGTTCTTAAATCATGTTTCCATATTAATGTTCCTCGTTTTAAGATGTTGCTAAATCTTGTTGCAATATCGCAATCTCTATATCCCACACATCTGGCATACCTGTTGTGTTTCCTCCTGTTGTATCCCATCATCCCCTGCGAAATCCACCAATTTTGAACCTAAAAATGCAGGTTTCAATGCAAAAAAATGAAGTTCAACACCAAAAAAGTGTTAAACATGGAGGGTTTCAATACAAACCGTTAAATCTAGTAGGGTTCAACACGCCAGAATTTCAAAAAATGAAGGGTTTAACCCAGTTTAAACCATAAAAATATATGCATCTGCCACAATATCCAAATCCAAGGGTCTCTTCCAGCAATCTCGCCTTATCCAACACCGCGTTCTTTGGCCCCGGCCACGAGACCCGCTTCACCACGGGGCGTTCCCCCCGTGGCGCCGCCAACGGGGCCTCGGGGGTCGCTGCCCGCGGAGTGGGCTCGGGGCGGGCGGAGGCAGAGCTGAGGTCCTTTCGAAGTCGCTCCACCTCCTGGCGAAAATTCAAGGGCGTCAAATGAAAGGACGCCAGAACATACTACTATATAACTATATCTATATCTATATCTATATCTATATATAATATATATATATATATAATATATATTATATATTATATATATATATATTGATAACTAATATATAGGTTGCTATGCCGGTTACTATATAACTAGTGGTAACCCTTATAGTAACTGGGAATCTCCCATAGCTGGCTTTCTCAGAAGGGGTTGAGTCTGAAAATCGGTGATCCCCAACTCTAACCATAGTTGTTTCAATAGTTTGGTCATTCATGACTTGGATGATATTTGGGGGTATCTGCAGCGGGCACACCGTGGCAGCGTGTTGGGCACAGTCACAACCAAGATGCAAATGCAAGAGCGCACAGCTCTATTTTCCACCAATGGGCACAGCGCCCAGTCAGCAGCCCATGTCACAAGGCTGAGCGTTTCTATGAAAAGAAAGGGGCCCCTCCTGAGCCACATATTGCAGTCGAGTGCCAGGATTTGTGCAGCATGTCGAAGAGGCAAACCTGACAAGGATGTGGATCTGTTGCACCAGAATAGAAAGAAAGATCAGGTTTGCCGCCCTTGAGGTAGTCGTCAATCTGGTTCATGGCGGTTTTGCCTTCTTTCTTGTTCTTCTTGGAGGCTATGAACTGTGGATCATATTTGACGGCCCACAGCCAAATTTTTTTGAGGAACTTTTGAAGGCCAACTTGACAGTCAGCACGCTTCTTCGCCAGACTATCACCTAAGTCACTGGCTACCCAGCGAAGCTTGGAACCAGCACGCTGGAGGTATTCTCGAAGTTGTAGGGCTTGGAGTGCAGAACGACTGTTGCTCAAACCCAAAAGAGGACTCTCGTTGTAGAGCACAGCATCGAAACCACCTTTAACTGTCAGTGCAAAGGATTCCTTCAACTTGTTGCACCATTTCTTCTGCGAATTCCACCTTGTTGGCATCGCGTGGACGGGCAAGTCCAGCACCATGGATTTCACACCGAAGGAGGCGTGCGCGGAAATTCTAATCTTCACCTTCAAGAACTGCTTGAACTTCCGCATCATTGGATCCAAGGGCTTTGCGATGTAGCTTCCAGGTTCGCCAAGCCAAAAGAGACATAGGGCAAACTTCACCTTTCAGAGCTTCAGGGCCGCCCATCAAAGTGATGATGCCACCAGTCGAATCACCTTTGTCTCGATTTGCATGGGCTTGATCAGCCATAGTGATGATGCCAAGTTTTCGCCTTCTTGTGCTTGAAAAACTTGAGCTCATAGGATTCGCGACGAATCTCGCCAATCATACGCTGGATTTCCATGGCATGGCTCATCTTACCAAACTTGATGACCTCGGTGAGGAGGAGATTGCAACGAGCACAAAGTTGAGGTTGAGTTTGACCTGCAAGCCATTGCAATGCGCCAAGAGCACCTCGGCAAGCAGCAATCTCATGAGAAGTCATCTGTGCATCTTTATTTCGCAATCTGTCCGCAGAGATGTCAAGGTCTGGCAGGGAGTCCACATAGTACTGCTGGCTGACAGAGATGACAAGGTCGCCATCGTTGTCGCGGTTCACCTGGATGTCAGTGCCAGCATGTCGGTATGCAGAATGCTTGCTATTTCCCATCGATATGCGGAATCTATTTTCCGGCAAACTTCATTCCATTTTGCATTGTTGGGGTCACCAGTTCTGTGGAAGTCATCCACATGACCGCCCGTCGGGTCCACATCATACCAAACCCATAGACATCGCTCAGCTGCTGCCAGAAGGACTGGTCGCCGGAGAGCTCTGGCCCATCATGTAGCCCCTGGTGACAACCAACTTCTTCTCCGCATTCTTTGGGGCTGCCTTGGACTTTGGAACCTTCTTGGTGCTCTCGACATTGGGCGTTTCCAGCAAGTACTGCACCTTGATGTTCAACTTCTCCTCGGCGGTGATCTTGTCCAACATGGCTTTCACAATCTCTTCCGTTGGAAGTGCACCATGAAGCATCGGCTGGAGCTGCGTCAAGGCCCTTTGCACCATCACTGCATTGTGGACCGCAGTGTGGCTGGAAGGAGATCCCTTCCGTGGTTGGTACCACAGACGGAGGGCACAAATCTCGCAGCTGGCCTAGGCGCCGTGTGGATTGCCCTGAGGGTTTCCCTCCACATGCTTCCCGTGGCACGGCCATGTCGTTGGAGAAGCACGTGGATCTCGAGGGTCGTAGGACATCATTCGCTCTGGGTCCAACGGACGAGCATGTGGCTTGCCCATCGCATTGGACTTGATGCTGCTCAGCACCGCCGCTTCTTCCGCTGGAGTCAGGCTCTGGGACGAAGTCGCCATTGCCAATCACAGAGGTCGATGCGGGGGCTTCTACAACTTGTTTGTTGGCAGAGGTGCCCATCTGAGCCATGGTGTGGCCACATCGAAAAAGTTTTCGCAACAGCTCTTCACGATCATGTTTCAAAGGAGAAGATGCAAAAGAGGAAGAAGAACATGACTGCTGAGTGGTGTAGAAATCAAGAGGACGAAACTGCAGGACTGGTTGCACTGAAAGAGGATCAGTTTCAACAACAACAACATTCACTTGTGCATGCCCTTCTGCTCTGGCTTGGCCGCGTGTGAGATGGTATAGAATATCATACATACAGTGTTTCTTCGGATTGACTGGTAGTTGATATACTTCAGGATTATCATCAACGCCATCCATTGCTAAACCAGATCCAAAATCAACCAACATTTGACAACCATGTGGACCAAGATGATCCATGCCAATCAAGATGGGAACAAGTTGTGACTTGTCAAAGTTGGGCTGGTAAAACTCAATTGGATTTGGAAGTGCATGCAGTGAAAACGCTTTCTTTTGACCAGAAACATCCGAACAAATTTCCAACTTGTACCTAGCTCTGCCCCACTTCCCATTGCCAAAGCGAGAGTATGACCGCTGCGCTGAGAGAATGTTCACGGTTGCCTGTCGATCGTGAGACAAACCAGCTTTCACCAGCTCCTGGGCAGAAACTTCTGGTGCTGCAGAGGCAGTTGCTCCGCAGTCTAGAATGCCATGAGCTTTGGAAGCCAAAGAGCTAGAGCTAGCACCAGTCGATGTCTTTGTCGTAGGGGCCAGTTCCATGCCATACAGAGCATAGGAATTCACAGGGTTCTTGCCAAAGCCGTTTCTATCCTCCGAGTGGTAAAGGACTCTTGCCCTTGGAATTCCAAAACATCTCTTGTTCAGACATGTGGGAAAACTTTGACTTACCTTTCTTGCCCTTGCCTTTGTTCTGAAAGAACGCATCATTGGGGTCAATCATGTAGTGCATGCCCTTGCCCTTCCCAGACAACTTGCCCTTGGGGTAGTTCCCATGACGTCTGCCAGGACAATCCCTAACCAAATGGTTACCGCCACACTTGAAACAACGACCATTGTTGACAGTGTTGACGTGACCAAAACCTCTATCGCGTTTCAACTGCTGGGTGGTTTTCTGCGTTTTCCTGCCAAGTGCGCTTGGCCTCAGCTGCAAGTTGCTCAGCGACTTGTTCAGCTTGAAGAGCTTCTTGAAGGCGCTCTTCGGCAGGAGACAAAGCAGCTTGCGCATCCTTAGCAGGAGCGGTTTCATCGGGCCACTCATGTTCATGCCATTCATCATGCCATTGACCATCGTTCCACCAACCATCATCATGACCCCAGTTCTCTCGTCATAGTTCATCTCATAGCCATCATCCCAACCATCATCATGCCATTCATGCCATAGAGCATTGCTAGAACTTCCATGACGTCCAGCATGTTGTGAATAACGGTGACCAAGCAACTGTTCATCCCAAAGTGCAGACAAAGCTTGGCTGATGGCTTCGAAGTCCAATTTGTTTTGAGTAGTGGACAAAATGTCTCTAGTTTCTTCTGGGGTGAGGCTTGCAGCCTTCAACAAACGCCACCACGTAGGACACCCATGAGAAATGAGTCTGCCAAAGAAACTTCTGAAACATCTTGGGGTATTTTGGGCTTTCCCGACTCAGATTCAGGTCCTGGAGCCGAATGCTCAGAGGCCGCAGGAGCTCGATGGCTAGGTGAGGAGCCAGGAGCCGCACTAGCAGTAACATCAGCACCTTGCAAGCTGCAGGGTCTTGCGGAAGTTCTGAATCACCAGAAGCAGGTTCCATGCCCCCCATGTAGCCATACTCATAGTCATCATCCCACCAATCCCATTCTGAAATAGGTGGCAAACCAAAATTTCTTTCAGCAGGGTCAACACTGGTCTGTTCCTCCCATAGCCGTATAAGGGCTTCAGAAAACTCTTCATAACCCAAGGTTTCACGGACCAAGAAATTCGCCATTGATTCACCAGGTTGTCTCTTAAATCCCAAATATTGTTGAAGAATCGCAGCTGTATTCAGAAGGGTCTTGCGAACCAAAGGAGAGCCAGCTAACTTCTTCAAAAGGTTCAGGGTTCCATCAGGTGAATCAAACTCAGTTCTTGACCATGACATAGCTAGAAGACAAGCATGACCAGATAGTCGTGAAATCAGTTTGGAGGCCACATATCTACGTTTCTTGGTCGGGGTCGAAGCAACAAACCATGCAACCTCTTTGGTATACCTACGCCAGTTTTTTGCCTGTCCATCCCATGAAGGCACCGTCGAATCATCACTCCGAGTTGCCATTGCTGCAAAATGCAGGCTTCAAAGAAAAGGTTGATCACCAGGATCAGTTCAGTCTCCACTTCGTCTTCACGAAGTCGAACACAAGGAAAAAGAAAATGAAAAAGCTCGGACGCAAAAAGGAGGCCAGGGATGCCGTTCGGCAAGTGCACCGCTGCTTGAAGACACCGGCAAAGGTTTCAAAAGCGATGTCAATCAGCAGCAAGTAGCAAGGCCCCGGAGCGTGTATGCTCCGCTGCCAATGCAGCGGGCACACAGTGGCAGCGTGTTGGGCACAGTCACAACCAAGATGCAAATGCAAGAGCGCACAGCTCAATTTTCCACCAATGGGCACAGCGCCCAGTCAGCAGCCCACGTCACAAGGCTGAGCGTTTCTATGAAAAGAAAGGGGCCCCTCCTGAGCCACATATCGCAGTCGAGTGCCAGGATTCGTTCAGCATGTCGAAGAGGCAAACCTGACAAGGATGTGGATCTGCTGCAGTATCCCCAGGTTGGGAAACCTCCATAAAGTTTATGGGATATACTTTAAAAGATCATCCCACTTCGTGGTTAGTAAGCTTGGTTGGTAAGTCCCCTAAGTGAGGCCATCCCATATGTGTATATATATATATATAATTATATATATATACATATACAGACGGATATCATCATGGTTGCTAACCAGTTCCCGAGCGGGATGATTTTCATCCTCCAGGCAGAATCCCAGACAAAATCTCGGAAATTATGTCAGATAGCATGCCAGATGCCATGTCAGATACAAGGTCATCTGATATGTCAAATAATATGACAGAATATATGTTAGGTTGAATGCCACATAGAATGCCAGTTGGTGGGGATCACTCAAAGAAAGCAACTGTTACTGTTGTTGTTGTTGTTGTTGTTGTTGTTGTTGTTGTTGTTGTTGTTGTTGTTGTTGTTGTTGTTGTTGTTGTTGTTGTTGTTGTTGTTGTTGTTGTTGTTGTTGTTGTTTTGTTGTTGTTGTTGTTGTTGTTGTTGTTGTTGTTGTTGTTGTTGTTGTTGTTGTTGTTGTTGTTGTTGTTGTTGTTGTTGTTGTTGTTGTTGTTGTTGTTGTTGTTGTTGTTGTTGTTGTTGTTGTTGTTGTTGTTGTTGTTGTTGGTGTTGGTGTTGGTGTTGGTGTTGGTGTTGGTGTTGTTGTTGTTGTTGATGTTGATGTTGATGTTGATGTTGTCTTGAATGGTGGTGTAAGCCATCATGGCAAACCACAAGATCATGGCAAACCACAAGTATCAGGGAACTGCCATGAAGTTCAAAGGATCTCACCGCCATGACCAGAATGATCAGTGGATTTGCCCACCATGGATCTTAGAAATGTGAAGAAGGCTTTCGACGCATCTGAGGATGATACATGAAAGTTATAGACTTATCCATCCCATGAAAAGCTGGTACATAGCTATCCCCATTATAGTAACCTCCAGTAAACCCAGGCAGGTTAGTAAGCCTGGGGATATGGGCTGCGGTCATCCCACCAAAAAAAAAATGAATACAGGTATGACCATCCCCCAATATGGGTAATGGTAGTCCGACGTGTGAAAATTAAACAGTTGGTAGCTATTATATAATTAGTATCCCATTAATCTCCCATATCCCATTACATCCCGATTTCCTGTACTAAAATGGCTGGTATATTCCTGTTAAATCACCAATAAATCATAATAAATCCCAATAAATCACCAATAAACCAATAAACCACCAATAAATCACCAATAAATCACCAATAAATCACCAATAAACCAATAAACCACCAATAAACCACCAATAAACCACCAATAAACCACCAATAAATCACCAATAAACCACCAATAAATCACAAATAAATCACCAATAAATCACCAATAAACCACCAATAAATCGCCAATAAATCACCAATAAATCGCCAATAAATCACCAATAAACCAATAAACCACCAATAAGCCACCAATAAATCACCAATAAACCACCAATAAATCACCAATAAATCATAATAAATCCCAATAAATCACCAATAAACCAATAAACCACCAATAAACCAATAAACCACCAATAAACCACCAATAAACCACCAATAAACCACCAATAAACCACCAATAAACCACCAATAAACCACCAATAAATCACCAATAAACCACCAATAAATCACCAATAAATCACCAATAAATCACCAATAAACCACCAATAAACCACCAATAAACCACCAATAAATCACCAATAAATCACCAATAAATCACCAATAAACCACCAATAAACCACCAATAAACCACCAATAAACCACCAATAAACCACCAATAAATCACCAATAAACCACCAATAAATCACCAATAAATCACCAATAAATCACCAATAAACCACCAATAAACCACCAATAAACCACCAATAAATCACCAATAAATCACCAATAAATCACCAATAAACCACCAATAAACCACCAATAAACCACCAATAAATCACCAATAAACCACCAATAAATCACCAATAAATCACCAATAAACCACCAATAAACCACCAATAAATCACCAATAAATCACCAATAAACCACCAATAAATCACCAATAAATCACCAATAAATCACCAATAAACCACCAATAAACCACCAATAAATCACCAATAAACCACCAATAAATCACCAATAAATCACCAATAAATCACCAATAAACCACCAATAAATCACCAATAAATCACCAATAAATCACCAATATATCACCAATAAACCACCAATAAACCAATAAACCACCAATAAGCCACCAATAAATCACAAATAAATCACCAATAAATCACCAATAAATCACCAATAAATCACCAATAAATCACCAATAAACCACCAATAAATCACCAATAAATCACCAATAAATCACCAATAAATCACCAATAAATCACCAATAAATCACCAATAAATCACCAATAAACCACCAATAAACCACCAATAAACCACCAATAAATCACCAATAAATCACCAATAAATCACCAATAAATCACCAATAAACCACCAATAAATCACCAATAAACCACCAATAAATCGCCGTTAAATCCCAATCAATCACCATTGGTTCACCATAAAAATCCCCATCAACATCCCCAGGACATCCATCGTTGGCGGTCTCCTGTTCCAGCACCCGCACTTGGCATTCGCTGCGTCGGCGCTCCGTTTCGCTGGCGTTCCATTCTTTCAAGGCTTTTTCCAGTCGTTTGGCCTTCCAAAATTTATCAAAATCCCAGGGAATTTCAGGTGAAACCATTGTGATTCATGGTGCTTAATCATGGTTCATGATGATAATGCTTATGGTTAAAAAATGTTTAAAAAAAGGTTCATGATGGAAACAATAATGTGTTGATCATTGGTTCATAAAGGTGAAGAAGTGATTGATCATGGTAGATATGTGGAGGAGGAGGATCACCCGATACTGGTGAGTAGTATCGGCTTAGTTTCGCCATTTATAAATGGGATAAACCTGGAATCGGGGGACTTGCGAAGTTGGTCTAGAACTAGCCTTGGATCTATGGACATAATATCTGCACTTAGAACTGGGGAACACCACCTTGCAGTTGAAAATTGGGGATGAACCCCCAACATGTGCCATTTCAATATTTTCAATCAAATACGGTGCCATGTTTTTTCATGATATCACTAAGGAAAGCTGTTTTCGATGGAATGCCATCCCAACCTCGAGCGTTTTTTCAAAGAGAACAGAAATATCGTGGGGATGGAAATATCATGTGTTCAAAACATTCCAAAACAACCAAATGATCAAATCAATGGCCATTCCAGGATCCTAAATTGGAGGTACCTACCATATACAGTATAAAGCCTATTGTTGAGGCCTATGTAAGGGAATATCCCCGCAAAATATGGCCTTATATGGTACAGTACCTCCATTTTAGGATCCTGAAATTCCCATTGACATGATCAAATGGTCTGATTGATTGGAACTTAACGGGATTTAAGTAGGGGAAAAAATATGGGAATATCACCAACCATAATGGGATTTTTAACGGGAATACTTACTGTGTGATACACAAAGGGATTTTTTCGAGGTCAAAAAAGTGCCGTGAGCTTAAGGTACATGGGATGAAATAATGATACTCTCTAACCATCAACAATAGCTGGTTGGTGGTTGAGTCATCCCCTCTGAAAAATGATGGACTTCGTCAGTTGGGATTACTATTCCCAACTGAATGGGAAAGTAAAAAAAATGTTCCAAACCATCAACAATAGGGATTGCAATAGGAATGATGCGGATTACTCATCAAGAATCTGAGCAAACACGGGATTGATGGCCATCCCCCAGGAATGGGGGACAGGGACAGTGCTGTCCTGGCAAATCCTCTACACCCACGGTTCCTTCGAAAAACGACTTGAATTGAATGCTTTTCCGCTAGAACGATTAGTCTTGTTCGAATGTCTTGTTGATTTATAAACCCATCTAACGCATCTAACTCTAGATATCGAAGATATTGACACAATAATTATCTTATATATCTAGCCTTAATTCGCCAACAACGGTTGGATCTTGGAAGGGATAGCTCCACAATGGCATCCCAACGGCCCAGCGGCCGCCGCGCCTGCACGGTGTTTTGCAGTTTCTGCTCTCGCGCTTCGTTGCCCAACCTGGGGAGAGTCCAGGGACAACGCCACGTGGCGTTGCGTGGCGTTGTCAAGTTAAATACTCTACCTGAGATCTCATCCATCTGGGAGTACAGTTCGTTATCTTTAGTTTCTGTATGTTTCTGGATAATATAAACAATATACCACATTAAAATTAGATAAAATTGGATGCGTTTACCAAAGATATCTCTGAAGGGTCAAGGCCAAGGGTGAGCCATGCAAATGGCAAGCCTTCAGGACTAGAATGGTATCTGCCATCTATGACCTATTCAGACAATGCTGATGTATCATGAAACCCTAGTAATGTTTATATCACCATATATTACCATATATTACCAGTATATCACTACCATCTATTTTTTGGATTTTTTTGGGGGGTCTCAATCTTAAAGGACTTCCAAGGGAATTCCAACATTCCATCGGATCTTCATGCAGACCTTTGATGGTGTCATTGGCACCTTTCCTCCTGGAGGTTAGGATGATGAAATGTTAGGAACCCTGATTCTCCACCAGTAACCAGCCAAATATGGTGGGAAATGTCTAATGGGGGTCTCAACCAAGCTTCAAGAAGAAAAACTTTCTCGTTTCTCATTACACGTGCTGAAGCTTGTATATTGTATAAAAATGTATAATATCAGGTTCTATATCCTCCTTCCCACGTTCAGTTCAGCCACAAGAAACCCACCAGCTGCCACCCTGGGCCACCCCCTGGGGTTCTACGGGCTGGGCTGACCCTGGGCTGACCCCACTCGACCAAGCGCTCGCGCGCGGCCACGAGTTGGCTACGAGACTCCTGGACTTCCGTCTGGCCGCTGGAGACCTTCCTTGGAGCTCCGCTGCGGGAAGCTGCTGGGGGATTCAACCGGGCATTTTCTGGATCTGCAAACAAAAAAACTCCCAGTTCCATCCATTTCCATGATATATGTTTTGACTGGGCATATTGGAAGCAGATTTCCTGCGATCAGTATCAGTATCACATGTGATAGTTTAGTCAAAACGGAATAGGCTTGGTCGTCTAAATCCATTCCCAAGGTGCAAGTCAATGGCATCTGCTGGTCCCCAAAAGGAATTGCAAAGTCCATGAATTGTCGATCGACCTTTTTCTTTTTCGCTACGCCAACCGCTCTCTTGTTGAGAGTCCAAATAGTTGGATTGATTTGAAATGAGCATCTATGAAAATCCTTGCTGGTTGGTGGTTGAGCCTACCCTCTGAAAAATGATGGACTTCGTCAGTTGGGATGATGACTATTCCCAACTGAATGAAAAGTCATAAAAGCCATGTTCCAAAGCACCAACCAGCTATGTTGTTACCAAACAAATCCAAGTCCGTCACTGTTAAGTCAATCTTGGCCCACCGTCTTAGTAGTTGGCCCCAGCGTTTCATCTGCCCCATGATTCAAGTCTTTTTAGAGGCCCTTGTCTTGCTCCCACTGTTGCTTTTCATATATTCATACATCTCTTGATTTGTCAGCACCTCTTCACAATCTCACTCTTCAGTGTGATGTTCCCATCTCTGCCGCCTCAAAATACATATCAGCTCAAAAAATATGCCTCATAAATAATCAAAAGCTCAAAAGAATGTAATATTATATATATACTATGTATATATATATATAATAGTAATTAATAATAATTATATATATATATATATTATATTCAGTATACATGTACATATATGCATAGAATCATATATCATTATGATCTCCCGCCCCAAATCTCATGCAGTTCCGCCGCTCTGGGAACCCCAACTTCTGCTCAATCAGAAGTTCACCCAGCACCTGTGATACGAGCAAACTCTTCTCGAAACCACCATTCTCAAGTGACTGATGATCTGACAATATCTGGTATGTTGAGGCTTTGAAGTCCCTCTCTTACTATCTGGTTGGTGGTTTCAACCCGTCTGAAAAATGATGGACTTCGTCAGTTGGGATGATGACTATTCCCAACTGAATGGAAAGTCATAATCCAGCCATGTTCCAAAGCACCAACCAGACAATTATGGTGATTTACCATGATTTACCTATTAAAAATGGTGATTTTGTATGTTTACCAGCAGGTAATATAGGGTAAGTAATATGGTCATTTAAGTGCCATCTATGTCCAGATGATCCTTTGCCTTTTCCAGCTCGCGGGACTTCAATTCACACCTCGCCAGCGCTCAGGGAACGGATGGCTTGCTGGGGGTGTTGCTGGGGATGACTGGGATCATTCCCGAAAATGGGACCCTGCGTAAAACGCAGCAGACTGGGATCATGAAAGCTACTGTTAAGTACTGTGTTTGAAAGGACCAGTCACTTTGGAATCTGTAAAAGGCACAAAGATGGAAAAATGAAAGATGTGAAAACAAGAAACATGTCATCACCTGAAGTAATCCTAGGCACCATAGAAACATCGTGCTTTCAACCCATCCCAAAACTGTTAGTCAATTTGGATCATCTAATCAGTGTATCTTCTCCAACGAACTACTCAAAAGACATGCAAAAGCCCAAACAAATCACACATATGTCATATGATGTCATATGTATTAATGGTGAATTTCCATGAATTTCCATGAATTTCTATGAAGCCCTTGTGGAAAATCAGTAAACCATGATCTCAACAAACAAACCCAGGCTGCGCTGGCAGTTGACCATCCAATCATAGATAACAAATGGTTGAAACAGGGGGAGCGCTGTGGCTATGTCATGCTATTTCTGGTTTGGCATTCTAGCTATATACACAATTTCCATTTAAAAAAAACAAACATCATTTCCAGTGACGTCGAAGCGTGTGGCCCATGACGGCCCATGACCTGTTGCACAGGAAATCACACTCGAACCTGGGCCGATTTTCAGCTGAACATACTGCTGTGGCATGATGAAATCCGATGCTGAAGTGGGAGATACTGAAACTTAATGATAGTATGACGGTTGTTCACTTGATATTCATGGTAGTGGGAGACTTCAGTATGGTATACTCTTCACCTTCATGACGGTATGATGGCATGATCTTGAAAAATTATGGTTGTTTCACTTCTAGGTTTTGTAGGTAGACGAGGAAATCAATATAAATCAATCAAGTTCGGGTGACTTTGGGGCTTAAAACATATTTTGATTTATTTCTCATGTGGAGATGTCGGAAAACCGTCACCAGTCACAAGCAACCCTCCGCGCTGAGCACTCCACGTCTGGCACTCCGCATGCACTGTACAAGTTTCGGCGGCCTGCACGGGTCGTCAATTGGGATCCTGCTCCCATAGTATGGAAAATACCTACCTACAATAGTAAGATTAAACATCATAGTTTCATAGAAATACATATATATATATATATCATATATATATAATTAGGTTATAATAGTAGTACGATCCAATTCTCTCAAACCACCAACCAAACAAGAAGGGGATGGTCTGGCCAAATGACAAAGGACTCTGAGTCAAGAGTATTTTGTTTGTGACCTCAACATCTATGGCAACTTGGCCGCAAAATCTCTGTTCCTGTTCGATATGTGGTTTCACAGCTGTGACAATTTTAGCATTTGTCATTTGCTCTGCGGTTCATAGAATCCCATGATATATATATATATATATATAGATAGATAGATATAGATATTTCCCCAAAGAAATCAATCATACTCAATTCTTGATGGCCAAAGGCAGTTCTGGCTCAAAAAATCGTATCCCAATTCCAAGCGATGCATGGTCCAAATGGTAGGTATTCAGGAATACTAAAGTGAGCGACCTTAAATAGGTTGGTTGTTCAAGGCTGTCAGATCAGCTATCCCCAGACGGTGTTTCCCATCACTTCCACACCTTGAGATCTTCTCGCCTGTGCGAGAAACAACTTTAGCAAAGTGTACGGATGATTATTTCTGCCAAGAAGAATCAGAAGGTAGAGAAACGTAGGAACTGGAAATACAAAATGCTATGACCATAAGACATAGGACAACATATATATATATATATAATTATATATATACCATATAACCGTTTCGCCAAACAATGAATAGAAACAGAAAAAAAAACAATTGCATTGCTCAAATTAATCTTCAACAAAACAGTCCGGCGGGTTCATCAAGACCTACAGATGCAAATCTAAAAGGAACAGGGGTGGACAACCAACAAATGACCATATATATATATACACATGATATAGAGATGGCAACAAAAACTCTGGATATGGTCGTCTCTGGGTTGTCACGGCCTGGGTCACAACTCCCCCAAAGTGAGCCCTAGTTGGAGGTGCCATCGGTGCCGAAGATTCCAATTGGAATTCCAGACACTTGTTGGCTACATCCCTTTGGGCATAGGTACATGCCCAACTTTATCTATACATTATACTATCATGTATCCTGGTTGGTGGTTTGAACCCCTCTGAAAAATATTAGTCAGTTGGGATGATTATTCCCAATATATGGAAAAATGAAAAATGTTCCAAACCACCAACCAGTATCTATATGTCCTCTTAAGTCCTGTCTGTAGTCATAGTCAAATTCCCATATATGGGTCAACAGTACCCAACCTGGGAACAGCAAATTGACCAGCAATCTGTGGTGCTCCAATGACTACAATTTCTCCGTGAACCCACAACCGGGTGTAGCCATGCCGCCCATGCCTCAACATGTTTTTTCCTCCAAAATTTTGGATCATCTAAATGATCTAAAGATATCTAAAGATATCCAAGATCCAAATCTAGAAATGGTCCAAAACCCCCCAAAAAATAACCTCTGCAAATGTCTGCCTCCAAATTTTCATCGACAGATCTATGACCTCCCAATCCGGGCTGGTCGAGTCCCAACGCTCGGCCCGGATCGCGGATCGCCGCCTTTTGCCCCGAAGGCCTTGCCTGCGATGGACTTGTCAAACCAACAGCAACAAACACTGGGGAAAAATGTGGGGTTCACATTTTCCAATGTAGAGATGAGTCAAATGTAGAGATGAGAAAAAAAGCAAAATTGCCTCAGTACCGACATCTGCAAAGCCCAACGGTCAGGGGCCCCTGCGCTCGTCAGCTAGAAACCCAACGCGCCTCTCCTTTTTCGCAGCGAACTTGCGTAAACCACGAATGGGTGAAACATGTTTGATTGGCGTGAGCGTCAGTGGTGAGCACTGCAGTAGAACATGATCCCACGTAGTATACGCCGCCGAGCAAACTAAGATTCTTGGCGCAGCGTGAATCTATCGTGCAAACCGCATGGCTTGGATTTCGTGTTCAGCCGATGCAAAAATACCAGGCAGGACATTAGGTATATATCTTCACAAACAGGCATGGAATGGACCTCAACACCTCGACAAATCATTAATCCTTGGTACTATTGAATGAGATTGGATGTCGATGAGGGCCCAATCTCACTGAATCTAAACTCTCAAAGGATGTAAATGCTGATCCTGTGCCTTGTTTTAAACCTGTCTTTCTTGTGTTCGAAACGGCTCCACCAGGGGTCTTTGATGGTCTGAAGGCTATCCCTCTGCATTGCTCAGGTTACAAGCTGTTGATCGCCACCGACATGTGCTGCGACTGAAACAGTTTCAGCTTTGCTGAAACTCTAAGATGGGCACTCCCCGCTTCCCCAGAAAGCCCGGAAAAAAATGGCAGAAAGCATCATTGGTTTTGGGACTTTGAGAGGAAACAAACACATAGTGTGTACAGCATGTTTTACACCACAATAACTGTGATGAGAAGTGGCCAAGCAAATATTTGGAGGCATCACCAACTTCATTTAGATTTAGGAGGCATCACCAGCAAACTTGCTGCATCTAACCTTCAGACTGGGTGTTTCTGGCATTTTCATGCATTTTCTACAATCATTCACCAACATGATTTCCCTTCATACTTAATAAAAACCATCATTTACAGCGCCATTGCTGTGACGTTGTGACAGAATCTGTGACAGAATGCCCGATATTGTGTCTTCAACCCATCTAATAGTTGACAGCTGGGGTGTGTTTTTTCAAAAGTGGACAACAAAAAACAGAATGAAACTACCAAAGAAAATCAACCTGAAAAATGTGTACGATCTGAACCACATCACTCAAGAACGCCTCTATCAGGGACCTTACAATTTCAACGGCTTGAAACACATCGTGCTGCAGACCATCAGGCTTTTCGGGCAACCTGTTGGCCTCAATTTATTCTTCGTGATGGGCACTTGGGAAAGCGAAATGCCCAAAGTCTATGGCTGCCAGCCATTCCGGCAACGCCAGCCGTTTGGGTTTTTGTTGTTTCTGCCATAGGGTGATCTCAATTACACAAACCATGAAGGTCAGGAAAATTTATATCATGAATCATGATGGAATCAAAAAAAATATGAATTGATAAGTATTCTAAATATATGTTGAAACAAAATCACTAGTGATTTGAGAAACTGGATCTGAAAAGGTGACTGTACTGGACATTATCCATGTGTTTGTTTCATTTTGTTTTCATCTTAAACGTGATATTCCCAGCACTTCTATTCCTCAGTGCGATCATTTCAGACTCACCTGGCATCATTGATGGTGTCCATGCCACATGGCTACGGAAAGTTGGAAAAAAAAACGGAGATCAAACCAGAGAAACCAGAGAAAGCCCAACCAATTTCATGGTAAAAAAAAACATGGTTTCCGGTTAAGATTTTCCCATCATCATCATATAACAGCCATATGCACACGTCGACACCAGCCACTGTTCCCATGGATCAACACGACACTCCGCCAAGCACCTGGCTTGGAAGCGTTCTGCCTGCGGAGACCAGCTAGAAATGGCGCTGAGACCAGGTCTCAGCACTGCCAGAGGAATCTTAGAGGTTGCTGAAACCCATAGGAAAATGGAGGTTTTAATGGGAAAGCCATAGGAAAACCCATAGGAAAATGGATGTTAACCCTCTGGTAATGACTAACAGTTTGCTATTGAACATGGCCCAGTTGAAATAGTGGATTTACCCATTAAAAATGGTGATTGTTCCATAGTTATGTTTGTTTACCAGAGAGTAGATAGACAATAGAGCAGCAACAAACAACATGAACAACTCTGTCACCAAGCAAAAATGAATACGTCGTAACACAGATAAACAAGATCCTAATGGTCCGAATAAAGACGTTGAGGCTGACACTTTAAAAGGAACATGTTCCAAACCCCCTAAACGGGATTAGTGGAATAGCCCGTACCAAGGGGTAAAGTGTTGTGACCTCACCCCAACAAATTCACGCATAAAAAGGAGTCTTAGATATTCACATAATGGGATCTTTTTCAATTAAGATCCCAGTGAATATCCCAGTCAATTGAATATCTCACATTAATGTCACTAATGGATCTTTAAAAAAACAATGTTGTGACAATCTAGTGACATATCCAATCAGCAAAAACCGTCCGTCATTTTCCCCCACAAAAACCATCAAAAACCATCAATGTGACATAATTGGCGGTTTCAACCCCCCAGAAAAATATTAATTAGTCAGATTGGATCATCATCCCAACTATTGGGGAAAATAAAAGCCATGTTCCAAACCACCAACCAGATGATTATTAACCATGATTAACCATGATTAACCATCATTAACCATCATTAACCATCATAAATGACCATTTTCAATAATTCACTGCTCATTTTCCCCCAGCAAAAATGGTGGGTTGTCCTGTTCCCACAAGCACCGCAGCCTCAGACGCGAGGTCCAGTTGCTCTCCACAGCTCAAGCGCCTGCCACGTTTTTTGCTGTGTCCCAAAACACGGGGAGTTCGATTGGGATTCTGGGCTTATTGCCTGGATAAACACTATTACTGCTCGGTGGTTTTTCGCCTACCCCTCTGAAAAATGATGGACTTCGTCACTTGGGATGATGACATTCCCAATCTATGGAAAAGTAAAAAAAAATGTTCCACACCAACCAGTTATGTGGCGAGTTCTATTAGGATCAAAAATTGTTTGGAGTATTTTTCCAGGATTCAACAGGGATGATGCTTGGAATAATTGTCCGGAAAATGCCGGGGCTAGAAGAAATCAACGGCCCATAGGAATGTCTATGAAATGTTGCGAGGTACATGAATGAACCGTGGGAGTCACCAATGAAATAACATAGGAGCAAATGAAATCAGCAACTAACGAATATATGAACGAATCAATGAATCAAGGTCATTGTCTGATAAGTGAATGAACCAATGAATCAATGAGTGAATGACTCACTGAGTGACCGAATGCAAGAATGAATCAATAAGTGAATAGTTTTTTCCTGAGATTTGGTTGTAATTATGCGTTTTTTGTTTGATAGTCCAACTGATTTCTAGAATTCTGGCTTTGGAGAAAGGTAGTAATACACTGATGCACTAGCTCGTGCTTCATGTACGAGTAACGTCCATTCAGAAATCGTTCAAGCCCATGTTCAGCACCACGTTGTTTTGTAAGTTTTGCAACTGTGAAGTTGCGCATCCTGTTGTAAGGTTATGAGCGGTTGATTTTTGATATGTTGCCTTCGCTCCATCAGGTACTGTTCATGTTCGAAGCAGCTATGTATTTAATATTCAACAGGACATGATTGTTGTTTTTTCCCTTTTTGGGGCTTGCAAGAACGTGGCATTGGATCTGCTATAACCAGGACACACATGGTTTTCCTGCTAGAGATGCCGCAGGTACGATTTTCCGGCCAGCCAAAATGCCAGAAACTTGCCACGCCAGTGGAAAACTTGCTTTGATCTAATTGGTGATGGCAGTCAATATTATAAAACATATATACATCATAATTACATTCTATACAATGTGTGTTTTAACCCAATAATAAACCAGCCCCATTTTTTCAGCATGTGTTATGGGTGGTATAACCCATATATAACTTCTATGACGGTAGGTTTATGGAGGGTGAATCCCGCTGCTTCTTTGCCCGAAACTCTGGCAGCCGCGGTCCTCTCCATGTCGCTGAGTTCGTGGATGGCAAAGAGCAGCAGGTTCACCTGGGGCGAGGAGAGCTGGCGAGGAAAAACATAGGGCAAACCAGACATGTGCTATTTGTATAATTTGGTTTGAGTTGGTATAATTTGGAACCATAAAATGAGTATGTATAAGTAAACAACTAATGTGTTTTTTGAGTTTGGTAGAATTTGTTTGGATCAGATTCCAGCAAAATTTATACTACCAGTAGTTACAGTATATCTGGAACCATGTAATGATATAAAATGATATAAAATGATCAATATGATTGAGCTTGATAAACTTCAGCAGCTGCAGAGATCACAGCCGGCTTTCGAAATGGCCGAAAAACAGTATTGGGATGGTCATCGCATTCCAACGTTCCCGACTGCACAATGCCAATGTCACTTTTTTTTTCGTTTTTGTTCACAGTTTTTACAAAAAATATCCACTTCTCATCCAAAAAGTCGACCAAAATTTTTATATATCCCATCATCCGGTGGCCCTTTATTTTTTTCGGAGTGCACTTTGGAACTGCTACGGTCCAGTCGAATATCCCCATCCACAGCACCGCTTCCCACAGCACCTGTGCGCTGCAATGCTCCGAGGGATCCAACCTGCGCTTTGGTCTTTCGGTGGCCTTTTCCCCTAAAAAAAAAACGTGTGATCATAGAGGTAGAACCGATAAAATCAACTATCATAGCTTAATATAACTCTTTTTTTATTTTTATGGCAAATATGGGATAGAAACCATATCTTTTTTAAAAAAATAAAGTGTATCAACAATCAACAATCGTGTGCCCATGTTCTAAATAGGGATAGAATCAAGAATAATGAGTATGTCATGGGGATATCATGCGCCATCGGAATGGGGATATGTTGGGTCAAGTTACGTGGGCTTCATGGGTTGCTTGGTCATCCCCCCATAATTTAAAACATGATTCCACTATTTATAGGTATATTGTATATATTAATATATAATATTAAGATATAATATTATCATATTATAATATCAATTATAACTATATATATAATTAATATTACAATATTAATTATAACATATAACTCCTCTTAACGGGAGGATGGCCATCCCCTTTTATGGCTTAATATAACCATGTTTTGACCACAGCACATGTAGATAAAAGGGATGATGTTGGGGTACCCCAATGTTCAGAAGCACCAAAACCTAGGCATTGGTCAAAATTAAAACCACAAGGTCTTCCAGATATGGTGTATTGTTGGTATTAAAACCGGAGGAGTTACTTGGAAGACTAACTAGAGAGCTTATCAGAAAAAAAAGGGTACTGTAGCTAGTCAGGGAAAAAAGGGTACCTGTGGTCATTTAACATAGCTATTGAAAATGGCCATTTTCAGAGGTAAACCATCTATAAATGGGAAATTTCCCATGGCTATGTCAAATAACCAGAGGGTATGTAAAGCAACAAAACTCTGGGCTGAAAGTCAGGCGACTTTCAGCCAGTCTGCCCAAGAAAAAGGAAGATTTGGCGGCAACGGGGGTGTCATCAACGGCATAGGTGGGATATACACAAGTCATAGAGTCATAGCGGAGCCTCCGAAAAAAAATGTGTCACAAGCATTGATCCCTCAAATAGGGTTTGCGTGGAAAGTTTCGGGAAAATACACAATTTCAAGTTTGACCGTAATCATCGTTTGGAAATAAATTGTCATTGAAATCACCAAACAGAAACTTATTATATATATATATACATACATATTTATAGATGCCCATTATATCTGTATTATATATACATATATATCCATGTTAGATGGTTAAAGGCCCATTGGTGATGTCATCATGTTCAATAGGTGATGGCAAAAGCCACAATCATTTTGGGAAACTTACGCAAGGTGGTGCCCCAGTTCAGAATCGCAAAGTTGTTTCTTTAAAAAAAAAAACATTACTGAGATTTATGGTGGATACATCATGATACATCATGATATCTATATATATAATATAACTTTGTCTATATATATATATATTTATGTACAGCTAATGGATGTGAATGGACTTTAAAAGCCAAAAAAAAAACTTTCCGTTCTGGGGCCAAGCTACACTAAGCTGGAGCTCAAGGACACGTCCCAGTGCCCTTCGGAGTGAAGAACCCGTTTGGCCTGGCTTTAGATTTCAGACCCAACTGGTTGCAGCAAAGAAGTATACTGTATATATATATATATCATAGTATATATACTATATTACTATATACAATATATAATATTATATATATATTATAATTCTATAATATTATAAATTATATATATAATTATATATGATTGTATATATGTATAAGATTGTAGATTCCCGGTCTTCTTTTTCAGGGTAGCAGATGTCTTCATTATACGAACAAGTTTCTGGTTGGTTCAGCCGCCCACCTGAAAACATGCGCGCTATTCCACCGAGATGAGATGATCCTCCGATTTCTACGGGGGTGATACGCTGAACAATGAAACCAGCAACAAGATCTAGTGAATGGCGAAGCTTGGATAGGCACATGTAACCCTGTCCCTATAAGTTCAACATGGTAAACACCCTCTGGTAAACGTTTACATTTTGCTATGGAAAATCACCATGGTTCATGGGAAAATCCACTATTTCTATGGCCATTTTCAATAGCTACGTAACAAATTACCAGAGGGTAACTGTTTGGAGGATCACTGTCGCTCTGCATATCCACAGGATGGTGAACCTATCGATAGGGAAAAAACCTCCCACCTTGAGCTACACCACCTCTGTGGATGCAGGTACCCAATGGACCCAATGGAAACACGTGTACCCAATTTTAATGGGGGTCCCTTAGCCCCATGATGTAAATCACTGACTTTGATGGAAAACGGTCCATGAAGTCCTCATCCTTCTTGCTAGTGGATGCCCCCAAACCACAGCTAGGTTTATTTATCAGTCCAAGCACTAGGGTTTACGGTAGATATATCAAACTAGCTGATGGGGTAAAACTAAACCAACTTAAACCCTGTGGTCATCAAACATGGCTTGCTGGAAAAAAAAACATGAACATCATTGAACATCCTCCATTTATAGCCCAATTTCCTCTTAAAACATCCATTTTTGTTGGGGGAAATAACCCAGCCATGGTTCCATCAAAGCCAAAAAATCTGGTCGAGGTTTCACCGTCCCTACGTTTGGTCCAAAAATTGGTGTGGAAGATGATGATCAGCGAGTGATAGAACCAATAAATCTGGCAAAATTCTGCTCAAAATGGCCCAATTTCACCCACCTGGAAGTTTTGGCCACTTGGAAATTGGCTACACCAAATCCTGAGATGACTATATTTTAGCGACCTGACGTTGCTTTCCGGTAAGAAACCTGCCAGACACCGTGGTGTGACCCCGGGAAGCACCTGCACGCCCAGGGCTCGAGTCACTTTGCTAAATCCGATTTCCGAGCCCAGAAGTGGCAGAGCACTCCGCAGCTTCGCGCCTCTTTAGATGGACCAGTTCACCCTGGGAGCTTTGAAACAGCCAGAAACTGCTGGATGGTGCTGGATACCCTCTGGTAAACATACAAAAAGCTATTGAACATGGCCATAGAAATAGTGGATTTTCCCATTAAAAATTGTGATTCTCCATTGTTATGTTAGTTCACCGGAGGGTATTCAGCCTGAAAACTGAAAACTGGCTGGTGGTTGAGCCGGCCTACCCCGTCCTGAAAAATGCATCGGACTGTGAGTTCGTCAGTTGGGGCCCAATGACATTCCCAAGTGTTTCTGGAAAGTCATGTTCAAGCCATGTTCCAGTCACCACCAACCAGATAATGGTATAAACTATTATAAATGGTATATAAATGGGATCTATAATGGTATATTAATGGAATATAAACAGTATGGTACAGTATGGTACAGTATGGTACAGTAGGTATTGCTCCATGAAAATACAATGTCATCCCGGGAGGATGTGAAGATATGTGAAAACCCAGCAGAAAACCATGTGACTGCATCCCGCATCCCATTTCTATGGTTTTTGAACATACCATTTTTTTTGTGGGTTCTATGGTTGGAAGCATTTCTATGGTTACCATCTGGTTATGACTAACATAGCCATGGAAAATCCCCACCATAAATGGAGGTTTCTGCGAAAATGATCTATTTCGATTAGGGCCATCTATACCATGGCTATGTTAGTCATAACCAGAGGGTAACGAGTAAAACTGAATGAAATCGAAACCACCAACCAAGTGGAAATGGCATTGGTGATGCCGCAGTTCAGAATCGTTGAACAGTTGCTTTCGAACTTCAATAGGGCTGTAGATATATCCACAGTATAGTTAAGAAGGCTTATACACCAACGAATATAACTGTGGAGGCACCACTTTCAATAGTTTCCCATATTCCTCCATATACATCCCATATAATCCCATTAAATCAACTTGTTTCATGGCTAGAAATCATGGTTTTCCATATTTTCCAACATCTTACCATAGTTTTCCCTATTAGAAGACAGATTTTCCCGTATGTTCCATATTTCAATCCTGTTTTCCCTATATATTTTCCATATACGTCCCAGTTTAGATGTAATGTTTGCGCAATCTGTGCGTCCCTGACGGAAGGCTGCCCCTAGATCACTGGGACAGCTGGTCAGGAAGCCTAGGCCTGAGGACCAGGGATGGTGATGGGGGCCAACCCATGGGGAAAATGGTTATTTGTTACATAGCCATGGAAAAGGCCCATTTATAGATGGTTTACCTATTAAAAATGGTGGATCTTTCCATGGTTATGTTAAATAACCAGAGGATTTATATGGATTTTTGAATTTATATGGATGTTTGGAGGATTGAAAATGGTGATTTAATGGGATGATAATGAAATGTGAACACATTTTAACCGATTTAATGTGATTACCATTAGAACACCTGATGCTAAATCATTTGTTTTAATGGTATATTTACCATCTAATGGTGATTGAACAGGATTGAACATGATGATTCATATAATAGGATGATCATGATATTCTAGCCATCAAAAATGGTGCTTTGATGGGATTTACCTTCTGGTGATTTGGAACATGGGAGGATTTCACATGATTTCACCACGAAAAATCATTATTTTGACATATGTATTTTGACCAAGAAAAATACGGATGTGGAACCAACCATCATGGAGATGTCATTGGCTTTGATATGGAAACTGGCATTAATATCCTTTGGAAACGATAGAAATGTGCTTTGAGCATCTTTTGAATGTTGTTTTGCACCTTGTTTGGATCCATGCCGATGGGATGCACCCCTCAGGTTGCCGTTCAACTGTAAGCGAAAATGTGATTTTCTGCTGACAGTTTATAATGTTTATAGGAGATTTCCTTTAAAAAAAAGGCTAGCCTCAAATCATCAAAAAAAAGTCATTCGACTTAACAGTGACTTGGGCATTTTGATCAACCCACGGTGACTTGGGGATCCCGAGAAGGTGATCTTTCAGAGATCCCACGACCTGGATGGCATTTCTAACATTGTTCCTCCGCAGGGCTGTAAATCATATCTAGTATTGATCAATATTGATTTATACTCAATACTGATGATTAGTGATAAACATACTCATTAACATTCATTAGTTTTGAGAAAAAGCTTGACAGAGATGAAGATTGGTGGTCCGAGACCCACCAAGTTCAAAGAATTCGCCCTGGAGGGTACTGCCAGACGACAACTGCTTGGTGGTTGAAGTTGAGCCTACCCCGTCCTGAAAGATGATGGACTGAAAGTCAGTTGGGATGATGACATTCCCAACTGAATGGAAAAATAATCCAGCCATGTTCCAAACCACCAACCAGACAACAGATGGTTAGACATCTTAGACACCCTGCATTTCTTAGACAACTTAGATGGCTTAGTCCTTTCAAATATCCTCATTGACAGCAACATATTGAAGCTTACCCACGCTCACCGGAACCGGTGGCTCTGGAAATGCCATGAGATCTGGCTTCAATGCCTCAAGGCTAAAGTCAAACAGCATCACGGGTACCCTTCAGTAAACTAACATAGCTATGGGAAATCACCATCTCTGATAGGAAAATTCATCTACAAGATGCCATCCATCGCTCCGAGGTGGTCCCTTTTTTTTCCTAGTTGATTTATACACCCATCGAACTAGTTCGATGTATATCCCCCATAAACCCCAGTGGACCACGGTCGTTAAATCACCAGAGGCTACCCTGATGCACCGAGCCCCACCATGCCAAGTGACGCTCGCTTCGAGCAAAGTGATGCCCCTGTTTGGCCAAAGATGATGACAGGGCCTCCAAAGGCTGGGAACCATGGGGAATCTACCAACTAATGTAATGAGATGGGATAGAGGTTTTTTTTGAATGGCTTTTTTTGGGGGGTTTTTGGGCTGATTTGGACCATTGGTTTTGATTGTAGAATGGGACATTTACCATCACTAACAGGGATTTCATGGGATATATGATGGGGATGTCGATGGGACATATACCCTTTGGCAATCAAACATGGCTGGGAAATCCCCGAAGGTGCATGGAGGATTATTGCTGTGAAAATCGTCGAACTAATTGGGGAATTGTATGGAATTGTCCATTGCCATCTTTTATTGCCGGACGGCAGTACATGCAGATAACGAAACTGATATCTGAAACTGTTGATCAGTTTCGTTATTGCCATCGAGATTCTCCCTCACAGGGTTATTGGCAGATCAACGAAACTGAGATCGATCAACTCCCAGTGGTTGGGAGAATGAATCGGCAAAAATGGGGATAGGGGGGATAGCAACAAGAATCAGGGCTACCACATAGATAGTCGACTAACACCAATCATATCCAATCATCAATCAAAGATATTCAAAGATCAAGAACCAAAAAAACGTTGGCAACAGTCATCAACCACCAAAATCAAGAACCAACCATCATGAAGCAACAACAAAATCATCAACAATCACTGATCCAAGGTAGCCACCTGAGCAAGGGCCAAGTGGACTAGTGTTGTTTCACAATTAGGGAACCTCACGATGGAAGATGAGTATTGTCATGTGTTGCCAGGATCAAAAAACGCTATAGATAAAGCGGGAGATTTTCCAAGACCATGTTTGCTTTGCAAATGGATAACATGGACAAAATGGATAGGGTATAACTCGGTGTAACAAAAAAAACATGTGCCAAAAATCTCTGCTTGAAGGACCGGTCAAAAATAGGGTTGTTGCTTTCCCTTTGTCGCGACGACATCTCCATCATGGCGATTGGAGATCATCCTGCCATAGGGTCTTTTGATCAGCCATGGTTGAAGCATCTGGAAAGCTCCCACCAGAAAATGATAAATATGATAAGATGTGATGAGATGTGATAAGATATGATAAGATGTGATAAGTGATTTTTCCCCATTTTGTGGTGCTTCCATCACCTTTGTTGCTTTTTAACAGCCTCCATGTGATCCCTTTTTTCACCCGAAAAAAACCTCTTCTGCTCGATAGAGAAGCTCCACGGCCGCCTCACCAGCATGGCAACATCTGTTCCAGGTGAACCATCCAACTACCCTCTGGTTATGTCAAAATAGCTATTGAAAATGGTCATTTATAGTGAGTTTTCCCATTAAAAATTGTGATTTTCCATAGTTATGTTAAATTACCAGAGGGTAATGATCATTGAAGAAATAAAAAAAAATCATCCAAGTCCCTTGCTTGCTTGTTTTTCTATAATCGAACTGAAAATAATAGCACCATTTTGTTGTTTTGGAAAGAGTCAACCAATAGTTGATGGCACAATAGAGCACCATAGTCGTTATTGATGACCCTATTTTAGATTTGTTTTGATTTTCTCTGTTCCATTAGCACCATAGTTCTCTAAGTCTGGATCTGTTTTTCCGCCAAGTGTCAGGGAATCATGCAGCTACCATCGGCTTGGCAACTCGTAGCTTGGTGGTTTCAAGTCAGCATCACTGTCTCAAGGACGAATGGATGGACTATTTCAGAAATTAGAACAAAAAAAACGATCTCTTCCACAAACTTGGGCATCCAAACGTCTTATCTAAGTTATCCACTCGCAATTACCCTCTGGTAATTTTTGACATCGCTCTTGAAAATTACCAAATTTCGGTGAAATCCTTCATAAAATGGACATAAATAGACCATTTCTTCCACTTAACAAATTACCATAGGATTTTTATCGGATCCACAGGGCACCTTCAAGTCCGCTGCTCTGCGTACGATCAAGCGCCTCAGGTGCGCCTTCTGAATTCTGGCGCTTGGATGTTGGTTTAAATGACATTCACCACCATTTTTTGCTTCCAGATATCATCTTAGCTGGTGATACAGTGATACATCCCATTTTATATGTAATTGTATACTCACTAAATATGTGTGTATATAATATATTATATATATACACCCAATCGAGTCCACATGTATCCCATTCTGGTTAAGCTTACATCCAGATAAACATCCGCGGCCAAAGCGCAAGTGGTTCTCGTCATTGATCCACGCTGCCAGCTCCTGGCGAAGCATGCGAAGCGGGGCCGAAAGATCATGGGAAATCGAGGGGAAGATGTCATGGGAAGATTCAAAGATGTCAACATCCGGTTTATCCACCATTACATCATTTAGATCATCCGGATATTCCCATTTAGATCATGGGATAACATCCATGATATTCCCATTTAGATCATTACATCCATGATATTCCCATTTAGATCATTACATAATATTACATATTCCCCATGATATTCTTCCCCATGACATATTCCCCATGATATTCCCATCATTACATCCATGATATTCCCCATGACATATTCCCATTTAGATCATTCCATTACATCCACCATCAAAATCCGGATTATTTCATCAAAGGCTGGAAATTCCACTATTTAAGATCCATTTACCCTCTGGTTGTGTCAAAATAGCGAACTGGAAAGATCCTCCATGCCATTCATGGGAAAATCCACTATTTCAACTGGGCCATGTTCAATAGCAACCTGTTAGACATAACCAGAGGGTAGATCCATGGCTGTCCTTACTCTTGCTCAGGAAGACGCCCCTGGCCTCGCGTTGTTCGACAGGCTGCAGTCAGAAAGGAGAGGTTTTTACCCTAAAAATGGCCAGAGAATGGGAATGGAATCAACATTCACCAGCCATTTTTATGGGAGATCACCATGAAAATCATGAAAATCCAACATGAATCCACCACTTTTTGTGGGATGTTTCACTGGAATTGGACATACTCCAATGATTTAACATAGCGATGGACACAAATTACCCATGTGTAGCTGATTTATCTATTAAACGTGGCCGTTGGAACCATGGCCATGGTAGATGACTGGAGGCTCCCGAGCATGATGACTGGCCCAAGGGTGAAGAATGACTGGACACAGTCACTTATCCAGTCAGACTAGTGATGTGGATTGGCAATACGTTCAATACGTTCAAAGAAAGCATCAAATGCAGCTCTGGGTCTCCCTCAAACTCGATCACCAAGTCAATATTGGTTTCCAAATCTTCAAATGTAGATGATCAAATGCTTGATCTTTAGTGTCATTTCCAAACAAACCGCTTGGTTGTTGCTGAAATGTCCCTGAAACCCGCTAGTCCAAACAATGCTGCCAAATTCTTGCGTTATATATGTTGGGATAGTATTAAGCACATATGCACAATTTTAACATTTCAATATGTTACAAAAGCAGTTTTTTTTTGGTTTACCAACTATAAAAGTGACATTTCTCATTGTGCATCGGATAGTAGCCTCATACCTATCATTGTTTGATACCTGCAAGAGATGGTCCTCAGACGCATGACGGATACATTGATCTCATTGCCATAGACGACAAACTCGTGAATCTCAAGTTGGCAAAGGTAGCATACCTAAACTGGTTGGTGGTTGAGCCTACCCCTCTGAAAAATATGAGTTCGTCAGTTGGGATGATTAATTATTCCCGATATATGGAAAGTCATAAAAGCCAAATGTTCCAAACCACCAATCAGATAATTATGGTGAATTAATGTGAATTACCTATTAAAAATTGTGATTTTCCATAGTTAAAAATCTTCCAAACCACCAAGCAGTAAAAGTGTCATTCACTGACGCCCATAGATTTCTGTGTCGCCCCTCCGAATGCCATTTTCATCGCGTTTTAACTTTCCGGAGGTCAAAGCCGTGTCTTCCGTGTCTTCCGTGTCTTCGTCTTCGCCGCAAAGACAGGGAGCCCAACAATGGGCTGAAAGAGAAACATTTCCGGGAACAACTTGGGGATGAATGATTCTTGGGTCTACCACATTATTAGTTAGTATATACCATGGTTGATATATGGTTATTATATGGTTAATGATGGTTAATAATAGCTGGTTGGTGGTGCTGGCTAACCATCTTGAAAAATGATAGAGTTCGTCAATGGGAAGGATGACATCCCATATATGAAATGGACAATAATAAATGTTTAAAACCACCAACCAGCCAGTTTCACCCATCGTCATGTCTCGCTTCACTGCAATGTCGTAACCAATGATACCCAGGATTCATGACGATGGGGCATCCTAATCTGCTACCCAAACATGCCACTCAATGGGGCTTCAACTTAAACCCATGCTTGATGTTGCGTACCTATGAATGACACCGTACCCAAAAATATGACGCAACTGCACGTTTATTCTACTGTATATGGTATGTCATAATTGAGGTTCATTATGATATTTACAGTATGTCTGATTACGAGCATAACAACTGATGCGTCATCTTAATTTCTATTTTCTGGGCTGATCTATAGTGATCTATATATAGTGTAATATAAAACCACCTACAAGGTCATACCCCAGAGTTAGGTAAGTCTGTTTATACATAGGTTAACTAGGGTTCATGGTCCATTGTAGATAGATATGTATATTATATATACATAAGGGTTAGATGGGGTGATAAACCAGCTCATAACTTGGGAAAACCACCTTGCAATTATGAAACATGTCAAGGTCAACCGTCATGCATCTAACTGTCTATTCAATTCATTATATGTCCATTTATCTATCCATCCATAGATTATTTTTTAGACAACTACTCATGGATAAATAAATAAATATCTGCGTAGATATTATATGCTCTGGGTTGATCTACATTAGGTTATGTACAGTCTAAAACATTAAAGAAGACAATCAAAATCATAGAACATATATTAATATATTAAGATCCACCCTAGACCACATAAATCAATATAAATCATATACAATCATATTCTAGTCATGTCTGATTAAACACCCCAGAAATCCATGGTGGATGGCCACGCCTTCGGCCAGTGCCGCGCACGTCCCGTGGACAGGATCCAAGGTGCATCCGGGGCCTTGCACGGAACGGAAGACCCGGTGGATGTTGCTGGGGAACCAATCGAAATCTGGTGATTTGACCATGAAAAATGGTGATTTCATATGATTTCATGGGATTATAATGGTGATTTTCACCATTTAATGGGATTTAATGGATTATAATATGATTCTAATGGGATTTCATGGTGTTTATGGGATTTTCACCGTCAACACCATCAACACCATGGAAAAAAGTGGGATGTCGCGGGATTTCCATGGTGATTTCCCATGGTGATTTCTCAACGTTGGATCGTGGAATCGTGGGATTTTTTTCAGCATCAAAAATGGTGAGTTACTCAACAGAAATGGGTGATGGGACGATAGTGGGACATCAACCAACAGAAAATGGAGAAAAGTTTGGGTAACTTCTGACCATAAAAATGGGGATGTTGACCATATGACCATATGACCATATAACTTCTTTTTCTAAAAATGCTGATGTTGACAATGTTGACCATATGAAAATGGGAGTTGACCATATATTTTTCTGGAAGAACGAGGACTTTCTCTGCCTTCATAAGAGCGCGAAGAAGGCAACGGGAATGTTGAACTGAAGAAAAGACATAATGGACGCTGAGATTCCATGTTGCTCATGGGGATGATTATAAGACCGCCAAAACCGCAATATCAAACCAATCAGAAATAGCAAGTTATGCTGACTTGTGGAACATCCGCGTTTGGTCTGTGTGATAATCACTGCATGTTACCAGGGATGGCGGATGTCATATATTTAACCAGTCGCTCTCCTAGTTTGGGATGGACGAGCCAACTATTCCCAGATCGAACTTAAAAGTCGCAGGTGTTGGGAAAGTTCACTCTAGAGATGATGCACACAACGACGTGTGAGGTTCAAAAAACGAAGGTGTACGTAGAGCTAAGAAATCAAGTAGTACTGTTGAGCATACAAGACGCAGAACATGGGGATGGAACCATGCAACAAGCCTTGTGACTACGAGGAATCACAAGCCAGTCTGCAGTGCTGGTTTCAGAATCAGCAACAGAAGCATCATTTTTTTCATGCAATCAGGGCTCCAAAATCAACAGTTTCCTAAGTACCATCTGGTTATTTAACATAGCTATGGAAAATCCCCACCATAAATGGAGGTTTTACTGGGAAAATCATCTATAAATGGGCCATGTTCCATAGCTATGTTAAATAACAAGATGGTATCAACCACATCACAATTTCTGAACCCTTCCAAATCAGAAACGCCACAGCAGCGCTTGCAGCGCTAGACCTACTGCTGGGAACTCAAAAAGTGCCCTTTTTCACTGGCTCCAGGCGCGACGCAAGGTACATCAATCTATGTACATCGGCTGCATCCTGAAGAATGAACGGAAAGTTCTTGGTAGACAGTGTGAATTATAATAAATTATGTGTTTTCTATAAATCCGCAATTGAGTTTCTTGATCATTGAATGACTGGTGAATCTACAATTCTGCAACATACTAATCGTACCACTTGTCCTGTGGCAAGCCAGCAGCTAACCCCAGTGATTAGAAGGACGACCTACAGAGAAACAACCGCTTTGACATTGAAGACCACAAAGTGGGTGGGGACAATCCTATAATAATCCCAATCCCTGCTACAAATGATATTTCATCACATGCAACCATTCTTCAGAGGGAAACTCTTGCTGATTAGGACCATGCTTTATGTGGATTACAAATACTCATAGCTAGTCATGGAATCTGCTCATCCTTCAAGATGACAGCAAGGCAAACTCGCCTTCACTTTCCAACTGCTTTACCTGAGCGCGCAAGTCACAACAAACAACCGCAGCATCTTCAGGGGTTTTCTGTGTTTGCTGCGTGGTGATGTTCTTCTGTAGCCGGACTTCAGAAAGAATGGATACCCTCTGGTAATTTAACATAGCTATGGAAAATCACCATTTTTAATGGGAAAATCCACTATAAATGGCAATTTTCAATAGCTATGTTGAATTACCAGAGGGTAGTTGAGTTGTCTCAAGGCCAACAACATAGTTTGATCTCCCCAACAACTTGGCAGCTTCCCGTTCTTCTTTAAGTTGGTTGGATGCTATTTCCACAAGATTCCGCCAAATATTCCCATAATATTCCCGTTCCTTAAACATAGCCAAGCGAGTCACAGTTTCCTCTCCCTCCTACCATAGTTATTCCCAATAATCCCAATATTCCCATACTTTCCCGAGCCTTGCTTCTTGCATATGTAGCATCCCAAATGCCAACCAGGTCACAGTTTCCTCTTCCTCCTACCATAATGTTTGGTTGGTTGATTTGATATCAATATCCCATAATTATTCCAAAAAAAAACATCATATTCCCATGATTCATCAGCTCAAGTCACAGTTTCCTCCTCTGGTTGGTGGTTGACCTACCCCTCTGAAAAATATGAGTTCGTCAGTTGGGATGATTAATTATTCCCAATATATGGAAAGTCATAAAAACCATGTTCCAAATCCACCAACCATACTATATCTCCATCAATAAATCACAATGTCACAAAATTCCCATAGCTAATAATGTCAAGTGAGGATTAATAGACCCCCCCCCGATTAATCAACCACCACTGCCCAAAAAAAAAAAGTAATTTAAAAACAGGTGGTCCCCCCTGATTAATAAACCGTTTGGCCTACCCCCGATTAATCAACCACCAGTGCTGAAATTCATTTTATCCAGCAATTGTTATTTCCAATTCCTTTTATTTCCAATTCTTTTTTACTTTTTTTTCATCATCATTGTTATACTTAAGGTTTAAGTTGATCATTGAAAATTTCAAAAAACAACTATTCCCCAAATGATCGATTTCTAATTCAAATCTTTATGAAAATCATCAGTTTGGATAGCTCCCAAAGGGTACCCCCCATGAGCCCATGTCCCCCATTAAAAATAACCACGGTTTGCCCCTGATTAATCAACCCCCTTTCTGATCCATGAGATTTTAACAAATCCAATGGAATTCTATTAAGATCTCATTGACATAAGCCATATCCAAAGTTTTATGGTTCAGAATTTTATGGTTCAGGGTGCGTTTATTTAGGGGTGGTCAAGAAAACTAGCCAGAAGGTACCTACCTACCTACCTACCTACCTACCTACCTACCCACCTACCTACCTACCTACCTACCTACTTGGTGGGGGGGGGGTATATCAATCCGGTGTTGGCATTATCCCCTTAACCTCAACCAAGTCACAGTTTCCTCCTCCTCTTTGGTTTCCATATTCAGCAACTTGGCCCTCTGCAGTGCCCGCTGCGCTCCCCGCAGATCTCCGTGGCGCAGCAGTCGCCGCAGGCGCAGCAATGTCTCGTCCTGGACCTCGCCCAGCCTCGCTGCCCATTTTTGGGGGATCCGGACGTGTGGAAAAACATGGAGCAAACCTGGGGAAAACCATGGATTTTCCCTAGGATTTTGACTGATGTTGATGGTTTTTGAATGGAAATTGATGGATTTTCCCTAGGTTTCAATTGATGTTAATGGATTTAAATGATTTCAATGAATTGTTGAAGGATTTTAAGTGGAACAACTGCCAACAACCCCCAAAAAGTCTTCTCCACTGTTTTTATGAAAAAAAATGACATCCCCCTAGCCGAACTCTCCAAGCTCCACCATATACTTCCATATACTATATGGAGGTTTCCTTTATACTGGGGGTACCCAGTTTAACTATGGCATTCAATACTCAAATGGTCTCATTTGGATGATTTGGGGCTACCAATTCTAGGAACCCACCAATGTTGATCGATATTATTATATGGTGTTATCTCATGTTGGTTAAGTCCCCGTGATCTTCCCATAGAAAATACTGGTTGGTGGTTTTTCGCCTACCCCTCTGAAACATATTATGAGTTCGTCAGTGGGGATGATTACAGTAATTATTCCCAGTATATGGAAACATAAAATCCATATGTTCCAAACCACCAACCAGATAATTATGGTGAATTATTAAAAATGGTGATTTTCCCCATGATCTTCTCATTTATTAATTATATTGGCTTTACCACATCGTACCCCTCCCCGAAATCATCCAAGTCACTGCCTCTCCCCCAGCGACGGAATCTCCTCCAGCGACACCGGCGGTGGCTCCTTGGGGAAGCTCCGCGGCCTCCCCGCGACCGAGCCACGCGTGGGCGACACCGGTGAGGTCGCCGTGGCGCTGCCAAAGGCACCGGGGGGTTTGCGAAGGTCCGGGTGACCGAAGAGGATCAGCTTGGTGCTGTGTTTCCTTAGTGCTACCCTCTGGTTATGACTGTTACGTAGCCATGGTTTGTCGATGGCCCATGGAAATAGATGGTTTACCTACTAAAAATGGTCATTTTCCATGGCTATGTTAAATAACCAGATGGTAAAATGTACTGAGACAAAAGATGAAGCTGGGGATTACTAAATGGGTACGATTAGATGTTTTAAAAAGTAGGTACATGTTGGATCATGTTGGTATTGAGATAATTAATATTGTCAAGCGTTTAGCAAGAATAGATGAGGATGAGGCATTTTTTCAATGGGACCCAATGACCCATCAATGTGGCCCCTAGTAACCCTAGTAGCTCCAAGAGGTACTCAGGCAGTTTGGTGATTGCTGGTCAAAGCCAACCATCACAAAACGATGCCCGACCTTTTGAAATCCCCAAAAAATCACCCCCAAAAACAATCCAAATCCTTCTCTAGTTGGTGGTATGACTTGGTTAGTTGGGATGATGACATTCCCAACATATGGAAAAATTACACCGGCATAGACCCCAGATAGAAAAGATTTCAGAAACGTTTTTTCATGCCGCGTCAATGGGTCAGTGATATAGCGGATGTCTCGACAAGCAAATTTCACAGCATCTGCCTACTCAATTGACATGAGCAAATATTCTTTGAAAACGCGTTTTGTTTTTTCTTGTTGAATGATCAAAATGATGATGCGTTTGGACAAAGATTTGCGTGTCGGATTGACATCACAGAGGTTGCGTCAAAAAAAAAGTGTTTTTCCTTGCCGCCCACGATTTCCAA